TGCTGAGTCCACACATTGAGGAGCATAGGAACATAGGAACAGGAGGGGGCCATTCAGCCCTTCAAGCCTGTTCTGTCATTTAATTAGATCATGGCTGATTTGTATCTCAACTAATCTTTTCAATTCCAATTTCCCGCTTTCTCCCATATCCCTTAATACCCTGACCTACCAAAATCTATCAACCTCACTCTTGAAGGCATTTGATCCAGCATCCACGGTCTTTTTGGGGAGAGAATTTCAGCTTTCTACCATCCTTTGAATTAAGAAACGCTTCCTGATTTCACTCTTAAATGGCCTGGTTCTAATTTTAATATTTGTGGGCGAAACGCAGCAGCCAGTTGCGCACAGGAGTGTCCCACACACAGTCGTGGATTGAAGTGACCATTGTTTGATCATTGTTTTTTTTTCTTGAGGGGTTATTATCAGGCGTGTGGAGTAAGGAAACTTGCCAAAGCTTTCATCCTGCTGGGAATTAAACCCAGGTCTCTCGCTTGCGAGGTGAGTGCTCTAACCACTGAGCTACAGAACTCCAGATTGATGTAAAAAGGGAATATATTAATGTGTTGAGACTGAGGAGTTATTTTCATTGGAAGTCTTGTGCGGAGAAAAGTAACAGCAGGGCTCGATTTTGCTAAAATATCCTCCACTAATTTCTTCAGCTCCCTCTGAACCAACCATTTTCCATCTCTTGGAATGGAAACATTGCTTGGCGTCACCACTTATTCGAATAACACAATGATTTGCGTAGATTGACTCTCACTACAAACAACCTGGGAGGTGTCATATTTTTTGCGACGTTGGGTCTTCTGTTGCAAAAGAAAAAATAGACTTACTGTATCCATCTCTACACTCAACCAGATTAAATTTACCATTCAGGTTTATAATGAAGAGAATGGAAGAGATCTCTGGAAGGAAAGTCATAGTTTTTTTGTCAAACCCAATGAAGATCATGAAATCGTGCTTATCTAGGTTAAATAATAATGTGGAGGTCAGTAAGATTTATATTGCATATGGACAGGTATAATAATATCTGAGAATGCAGTACGTTTTCCATAATTGTGCACTCTTATTACACATCTAAACCATGGACCCACTCCGCAGTCACACAACAAAACCTAGTCTGGGGTATGTGGGAGAGGTGAAAACATTCAGAGCAATTTGGATCAATACTATAGTCTCCATCTTAATGTGCATTAGTCAAAACAAGTGTAAGAGGAAACCCTCTTGGTCCGGGAAAGCTATTTATAAACACCAGACAAAGGTACGAATCTAAGCCTATTTCATCAAATCATGAAATATATACCCATGGGGGTATATTTTTGCAGTGGGAACATAGGAAATTACAAGAACTGGCTTGTATTTGAGTAAGTAATTCCAACTATTACCTTGATCAAGTTGTTTTATATGGGAAAAAGGAACTTCTCCTCAGGTCAGCTGAAGCAATAGATGGAGTCTGACGCTCGCAAGATGAGGAGATGATGCACCTCCTCCGCACTCAGTGACCAGCTGCTGTACAGCCCCCCCCCCACAGACATCACAGGCATCTCCACGTCACAAGGTAATTTGCTCGGCACAGCAAGGGTGTTGGGGACAGAACACTTGCTACATTGTTGGTGCTCAGCATTGACAGCATCAAGTACAAAATGAAAATAATAGAATGAAGCCTAGTCATGGTGTTGCTGACATTGCTGGAACGGGAACAGTCCCCATCACACTTTTAGAACTAATACTAAATCAATATACATCTTTTTGCAAATCAGAGATTTCATGGCTTTTTCCACCCTCTCCAAATCCGTCTCTTATTTTAGAGGCTAACCACCATTAACCAACTCCAGAGTCATTATCCACCTTAAAATACTTGAAACAAATAAAGTGCACATGAGTTAAACCACAATTCCATACTGCTCAGTTCCCATCAATAGACAGCTTCACTCTGAAAACCCAAACTTCCACCAGGGCAGGGAGAGCCAGGGGAGGCCAATCACAGCCCCATTTAACCTCGAAACTAATAAGTTGCAATATCATGTGAACTCATTTGCCTCCATCACACAAACATCTGTTTCTCTTTGACTGTGCCTTCAGCTCCCCTCTCGACTCTCTACCCCCCTCCTCGCTCCCTCCCTTCGCTCCCCTCACCCTGACCATTTCCCCCCTGCTTGGGTCCTGACCCAACTGTCCAGCGCCTTGGGACGTCCTCCCGACGTGAAAGGCGCTCTATAAATGGAATCTTGTTGTTGTTGTAGACTTGCATCTCACTTAAGAGCTCATTCCTCGTTCACAGGTGTGACTCTCTTCCTCCCACAATGAAATTTGTTCCCTACAAGTGTGGCCAATGCTGAGAGCGGCTCTGGTTTACTTTAATTGAAGACAGTTGGCTGAAGTTGAAATACATGGCAACCAGGTGCCGGCTGTGACTACTCCAGGCATAGGGAGAATAATAATAATCCTTGCATTTGTCTTATCACGTTGTTGATAAATATACAATTTATATTTGTATCTCAAAGCACTTAATTCTGCAGGGGCATCCGAGCTGGGGTTAGGAGCCGAGGCAAAGAGAAACTCTTTTCTTTTTAACCAGTACTGCAAGATGTTTAACGTCCACCTGAACGGACGGATGGGACCTCGGTTCAACGTTTCATCCGAAGGATGGAACCTTTGGCCGTCTGGCACTGGACCAGTGTCAGACAGAAATCAAAGTCCCCACACGGGGATTGTACTCACAACCTCGGGACCCAGAGTGGAATGCGCTGTCTACTGAGATAATAAAATAATAACCCTTGCATTTAATAGAAAGCCACACCGGTTGATTGTATATCTATCAACGCTATATCAAATGCAAGGATTATTACTATTATTCTTCCTATGCCTGGAACAGTCACAGCCGGCACCTGGTTACCATGTATTTCAACTGCAGCAAACTCTTTAATTAAAGCAAACCATCACTGGTTTGATGGTTTCAAATCTCAAAGTGCTTCGCAAGATATAGTGTAAAGTGGATTACCTGTGTATTTTGTGAGTGAAACACAGCACCCAGTTTTACACAGCATTGTCCCACAAACAGCCATGGAGTGAGTGACCAATTTTGTTTTATATTTGGGGTATTGTTGGCCTAGACACTGGGAGAAACTTCACTTTTCGAACAGTGGCAGGACCTTTAACATCCACCTGAACAGGCAAACTGGACCTCAGTTTAACGTCTCATCCGAAGTACAGCACTTCCAAACAATGCAACCTCCCCCCCCCAACACTGTATTGGAGTGTCAGCTTTGACTATGTGATTGCAAGTCCTGAGGTGGGGCTTGAACCCACAATCTTCTGACTCAGAGGAGAGTACTACAAGTGTGCCAGGCTGACTGTGAGCATGCTGGTCTCTATCCTGGCATTGGGTAAAGGCCGGCGCACGAGAAGCTGAACTTCTCCACTTGTCAAGGAAACTCCCAGTAACCGGGAGCAGCTCAAGAGGAGCAAAGTGAAATTCCCTTATACCAAACTACCAGACAAAGCCTGGTAGTTTTGATATGTTCAGTTCCTTAACTAGCGACTATCCTCCTTGGTGGGAGAGGTAAACCGGGTCTCCTTGGAGTTGAAGTGGCTCCAAGGTGACATTCTTAGCAACGGAACGTTGGAATCGAGGCAGCGCTCGGCCGCTTCCTGAGCCAGGCGGGTCCGCAGTATTCCAGGGCACTGCTGATGACAGCACAACCAGCCTGGCTCATCAGCAGGACTTGGCAGGGCAGACCAGTCACTGAGGGCAGAAAATCATCCCACTCAGCTCCTGTTAAACCCTACAAGCAAAAGCTCGAACGGTTAGTGTGGTCTTAGTTGGACAAGCAATGGGAAAGACAGCGATATCAATGGCAAGTTTTCTGGTTCCTTACACCAGTGACACTCTGCGGCACCACATGATGCCTCTATTTAGAACAATCTGGCAGCAATTCAGTACATTGGCCATCTGGTTAACAGTGGCATCAGCACTGCGTCAGACCCGTTTGAGTCAGAATTGTTTTTTAAAAACACATAACAGGCCTCCAGATATCTGCAAATCTGTTCCACTCTGAAGGTTACTTGGCGTTACTGCCAATAACAAGAATTGTTGAGTTTCTGCAGGCTTAACATTTAGTTAGAAACCCACACCGGTTGATAATTGGTATTACTCGGCTTCTGCAGGCTCATCCTTCAGATAGACACTTCAGTGCTAACTTACACCAGCTTTTTTTTAAAAAAGAATGTATCATCTCTGTGGGGCCCTTGGGCCAAGAACCCTGGGATTTGTGTTTGAAAGCAGTGAATTTATGATTTGGCTCAGCACTTGATTCCATTGCTAAACTTAATCCAAACACTTGTGGATCCTTTGTTGCCTATATATGGTGCGGCTGCTGTTTGGTGCATGGACTGATGCTGTGACGGTGACAAGAATGTTGGTACCTGTTCTTTAGGTGTGTGGGATCTTACAGCACGTTGCAGTGGAATGAATTCATCGATGCAGTATTCTGATGATGAGGGGCGGCCCATCAACATCAGGCACAAAATGAGTTTTGAGTAAGCTGCACGATTATATAATGACCATTACCTCACTTAAAGAGTCACATGTATCACACACTGTTGGCAATCCCTTCGGGAAGTATTTTAATTGAATATTCTGGGATCTTCGTTGGAGGTAAGTGGAAGATAATAGATTCCCCCCCCACCCACTTCCCTCGTGCATTGTGCTGATGTTTCATCTCTTTGTTTTGGAGACTTACAAACATCTGAAAAGAGTTATAGGGGGGGGAAGAAGAATCAAATTAACAACTGGGGAGAATATTAACACTGATGTTTTGTACCAATTGTATATAGATCCAGGGAGAATTCAGTGAGATTAAAAGTTTCCAATGTTAATGTAAAGCTCATTAAACCTAGCAAAAATGCTAACTTGCATTTATATAGTATCTTTCACATAAAATAAATGTCTCAAAGCTCTTTACAAAATAAAATTGATTTATTTTAAAAAGTCTATCCTAAAATATTCAAAAATTTTATTGAAAGAATAGGTGGCAGATATAAAAGCAAATTAAAAAAGCTGGGGTTCAAAGTTGCAATTTATAGATATAAAAGTAAATCAAAACTGCTTTGAAATGTTTCTTCATGTCATGGCAGGTTCCAGTTTACGTTTCTTCATACACAATCCTGGATGACAAGGACTTGATCCTAGTGGAAAGAAAACAAGATTTTAGAATGAAATCCATTTGACAGAATATCTGTCTTGTGTCTACAATTGTTAACAATTGATGTCTGTTGTAAATTATTTTATTTTGTCTTCTTTTTACATACAACCTAGGTTGTTCAGGGAAAAAAATGCCACCACTGGGTTGGAAGCAGTACTTTGCAAGTTTAATATATTCTGCACATGATTTAATCCATATGAAAAGCAGGCAAGATCTGTCAACATTTAATTTACACTTCAGGCTTTAAAATTGGTGAACAACAGACTTTTGGAGATGGCATTCAGTCAGAAGCTTTGGTTGGACAGAAGAAGCCAGGAGGAAAATGAAAACTCAGTTTAATTTTAACTTAATTATTTGTGAAAATGGGTCAAAATAACTTCATTTGGCTATGATGGGGTTGGGGAGGATGCAGAACTGGCAACAAAATAAAAAAAGGAGAGAAATGATAGAGACAATAATGGGAAAGAAAATTGTGCATGTGTTCGATAAGTATTGTTCCATTTTAAACTTTGTTTCAAGTGTTTTATTTTGGGTTAATACAGTGTTACAAAAGTCAAGATGCTCATGACATCTGAGTGATTTGATTTATGTAATAACTTGTTTGTCATCAAACATCTCTGGAAGATTGCTGTTTTCTTGGATTGAACAATAGTCTGCAGGTGAACAAGTTGACAGAAGATGCAGTGTTTATATTCCCACAATAGCTTGTTTGTAACCACTTGTTAAAGCTACTTGAGCACTAATAATTTAGCTAAGTTGACCAGGAGCTCTTGTGATAAGATCACATTGCAGTTTCAGATAAGCTTAACTCTGTCTCTGTGGGTCTGAAAGCTGAAGGAGGATATAGCATGGTTTCGCTGGAGCTGAAATTTTTATATTTACCAGTCAATTTTATTTTAGTGGATCGGTCAGAGTTTAAATGGAAAGAGTTTATTTTTAAAAATGTGCAGATAATTCAATATTTTTCATGTAAAACCAAATCATTTGTGCTCTATTACATTGGCCACACGCCACTGCAGACAGAGAAACAATTGACAGATTATCTAATTTTTGATCGAAAGCAAATGAGTGGAGCTTATGAGCTATATTGGTTGTTGCATAATTCAGAAAAACAGGTTTATAACACTCAAACAAACTTCAAGCTGCATTTTGATCCATTGTGAACCATGATGAGTTACAATACAACGTTCTAATGAGAGCATAAACTTTGATTTTTTCTCTTGAGCTTTAATACAGTAATACAGCCTTTAACCACACTTTTTGGTTGTTTACTTTGTGTGATTTATGTATTGGAGCGGCGGTGAGTAATTTATTTGTACTGTGTTATGAACAGTAAATATAACAGAGATATTGACCCATTCTTACTTGCTCTGCGTGGCCCGAGATTGTTTGGCTCTTGCACAGATGGCAGCTTTTGGGCATTTATCTTTTGTGGTGTCCTGTTTCTTATCATATGGTATTGTCCAGTGGGAGTAGAAGGGGTTTGTTTGTGGCCAGGATCATTTGGCTCCTTCTCAAAACCCTCACCATTCGGAGGGATATTCCACAACTCAGGATCATCTGTCAATTTAAAACACAAATCCTTTCAGGTAAAACATTTTTCACCAGAGCCTGCTTTCTCACTGGGATTGTTAAAAATGAATGCCATAGCTTGTTACTCAACTAGTGCACCACCTTCTCAACAATCACTGCTTCCACAACAAGTGCAACCTGCAAATATTGTTGGATAAATACTGGCAAACTTGCCATACTGTTGATGAGTGTAACACATCAGATGGTTAAAAATATATGTCCACTCATTGAAACAGATATAAAATGCTGGATTTTAAATTCTAAACCACAAAGTGTCTTCACTGCCAGATTAAGTTAATGCAGGGTGGAGTTTATTAGAATAATGCATAGTAACAAGTTCAGACAACTTTGCTTCATCTCATTTACCTTTCCCATTATAATAATAATAATAATAATCCTTGCATTTGATATAGCGCTTTTCACGTCGGGAGGACGTCCCAAAGCGCTTCACAGAACACACTGTAAAGTGAATTGACTGTGTATTTGTGGGCGAACGCGGCAGCCAATTGCGCACAGCAATGTCCCACAAACAGTCGTAGAATGAAAATGACCAATTTGTTATTGTTTTGGGTTTTGGAGGGATTATTATTAGGCTCTGTGTGGAGTAAGGAAACTTGCCCAAGGTTTCGCCCTGACCTGCCTGGAATTGAACTCGGGTCTCTCACTTGCAAAGCGAGTGCTCTAACCACTGAGCTACAGGACTCACAAAGGTACTTTTCTGCATCTATCGCTAAATCTAATAAACCTGCATTTACATTTAGTTCACAGGAACATGTCCAGTTTTTTTTTGAAAACCTTTTGCTTGTTCCACCACCTGCTTGGGTTGTTGGTTCCACCAGACTATCGTCCTTAGACAAAAAACAATCTGTCCTGAATTTACCACTAACATTCTCCTGATTTTGAAGATACAAATAACGTGGCTGATGGGCACATCTAGTAAGAACAGAGTTAGGCTGCATCTCTGAAGATGGTGAAAGTTTGACACAGGCTTTTGTAAACGTTTGTTGCTGAGGGAGTTAGTTTGCTGCAGCTACAGGTCCGAGGCACAAAAACTGCTATTGTTTGGATTTCCTTGTTTTTTTACCCTCAACAATACCTTGACATGTCAGACTAGTTTTGCACCGATTAAAATTAGATTGTGAGATGAAGTGGATTGCAGTGAGCTCCTGGGAGGGGATTAAAAACCTGGTTTGGCTCAGAGTCTGCTCAAACTCCCCATGGTGTATTTTACAGTCAAGAGCATCTGCTACAGATTTCAGCATTAACACATTGCAGGTCATGCTTGCAAGCAGCCAAGAATTGACTTGCAGCTATTTTCTCTACACCACTCGTACGGAAAAATACCTTTCCTTTACAATTAATAGTTAACCAGCTCCAAAATGCCTGTGATATTCTGGGAAATATTGGGAGAGATCTGTGTAAATCTGAATATTTGCAAGTTTGGTTCAGTCACATCAGACAAATCAAATTTTAATTTAGGGCAAGTATATTTTGTTCTGCAGCTGGGACTGTATCACCCTCTCAAGAGAGCTTTTTCTCATACAAGCAATTTGGGGAACAATTTAAGTATGTTGCAGTCAAAGTTCATGTGTATAACCGTAAAGATGTGTGGAAAAAATTCCTCATCAACTATTTACCTAAGGAGATTTACACCAGCTCTCCTCATGGTACTCGTACCTATTTGAATGGGATCATTGGGACAAGGACAGATCAGTAAATAACATATCGCTGTGGAGTAACGATGCAAAAAAGGCAGAGAAAACGACTGAAACATTTGTTTTTTGTGTTTAAAAAAAACACTTGCTCTAAACTAAGTTTGAAAAACACTGGACTTATTACAAATGTATAAAATGTGAAATAATTCATTTAAAAAATGTGCCTTTATCACTGCAGTTTTGCTCTTTGACAAAGGCATGTTGTGCCATTAGACACTTGAATTAAGTTTTATGGAACATCCTTGTGCATGTGAAATACAAGCAAAGAAAGGCAGCAGTGACAGGAGCAGAAGATGACTTTGAAATGGAAATAGCAGGTGTCCTGCAGTTTAGAGATTATTGCACATAAAGGTTACTTAAAATTATATCAATCACTAGCCCACAAATGAATGTGGTAATGATATAAATATTGTTTGTTAAACATTAATTTATTGGAATAGGGCGTTGGAGTCAAACTAATGACTATTTCTTAATATTCAAAAGGTAATTAAATAATTTGTAGGTGGAGCTAATTTCCTGCTCCAGACAAAACACTCCTTTTTGTTGATCTCTTTAAGTCAACTTATTGCTTTACATACATTATGTTCAAGGGCTGGTGGGCCCCATATTCTATGACACTGGCTGTTCTCTGTAATGACAAAATGCAAGTCTATATACAGGTATATATAAAAAAGACAGTTTTATTCATTTGATCAATTTATATATAAAAATAAAACAAAGATCACATTTATAATTTGTTCCTGGTAAATGAGAAATGTGATCCATGTTGTAGAATTCTAATGTTGCAATTTCCCATCAAATAGTATTCCTTATCCAGCAGAAAATGTTCACAAAGATTAGGCTGAACCACTTGCTTTTCTTCAGGTTGATTTGCTGATGGCTGATATACTTAGATTTTAACTATATTTAGAAATAGGATATTTTAATCCAGAGTTCATAGGAATCCTAGAAACACGAGCATGAGGAACTTTGCAGTCTTTATGAAAAGAAGTACATGGGAGGGAGTGCTTAGAATTTAAAATATTCTTCATTGATGTTACCCTTCAATTTTGCCGTAAAAGGACTGGGAGGGAGTTGTTGAGAGGTCTGCGATGAAACCTACCAGGCAGAAATTCAGCTTCTCTGAAATTCACACCACAGGAGTTGACTGGCGTGCTGTGATGCGCTGACCATTCAGATGAAGATGTTCCAGCTGGCATAACAAAAATAACAAAAATCAGTGTCCAGTTTGAGCAAACTCAGGTTGACATTAAACAGCTATGATGGTTCAATGTTAAATTTATTTTCTCCACTGCAGTGAGATAATTTATTTAAAAAAATTCATCCTTATGAATGATGTGAAATGGCAGAGAATGTATTGAATTCACTTGATGAATGTGAAGCTCTGGTGTAGCTATTGGACAGGTTTACAGGAGCCCGCAGTTTCTGACACTTGAGTGTTGCATGTTTTGCACAGGTGGGCCTTGGGTACCTTTGTGGACATCTGTTTGTGGCATATTGCAGGAGCCAGTTTCCGTTTGCTGCTGGTAACGTTTCTTTTCCATCTTTTCTCTGAATTGTTTCTGTAACTGTTTCTGTCGAAGTTTGCGTTGGTGAGTGGGATCCAGTTTTTGGGGCAAGGTGGCCAGATCAGTGGTGTCAACCGTACTGCTGTGTGAACGAACATTGGTTTCCTTTATTTTCTCTATTTTACATTCTTTGCACTGCTACTGCTGTTTGTATCTAAATTTTATAACAATGCTTCTAAACCTTAGGACCCCCCTTTTCAAACATATGCGTAAAGATTAAACATTTATGGTCAGCAAATTAGTAATGAGCTTTCCTACCAATAAGACAAATGTAAATAATGGCAACAATGATAATGTGATAGAGAGCAATTGGTGGTACAGAGGATGTGAACACTGCCTTCGGGAGCTGATCCGAACCCAACCCAGACAAGCGTGATAAAAATCCTCCTCTGGCTTTCTGGGTTGGTCAGTTTTACAACCTATGAAATCCACTTTTCTGTTTGTGTGTGAAGACAGCCATTGAAAGACGGCTGACCACTGTGCAATGCACAATTGATTCACACTTTTAGTTTGCGAAAAAGTAAATTTGTACATTGAAGCATAAGTATATACGGTGTAAGGACACATTTTTTAAAAAAATATTAAAAATTGCATAAACTGCAATGCTGTTTCAGGGGAAGCAGGCCAGAGCAGAACAGTTGTATTGTTGTATTGTGTGGACTGATACCTTTTGTTTATTGATCCATTCACAAAATATGTTGATGTGGATCCAAATTGATATTTCCCCACACAGAGCTCATGTTATCAACTGGGCTATCATCACAAGGAGACAATGCAAAGGGCAAAAGTGAAGGAAAAAATGCCTTTGATTTGGACCTGGTCTTCACACAGATACAAAGCTTTGAGAATTGTTGGGTTGAATGATCAGATGAGTATCTACTGCCCATGTTAGATTCAACCATCACTTAGACTGAACGTAAATACTGACCATGAAAGGCTACATGATTTTTCTCCTGCATCTTCCTTGCTTCCTGTATGTTCTTCTTTAATACCTTCGGTTGGTGGACAAGGTGAAGGGGCAGATGGAGGTCGTGACTGCGCCTGTAATAAGCTGTTGTACCTGGCTTTCTCCACCAAGGGCTCGTGGTCTGTTCTTTTAGAATTAACTGTGTGTATCTCTGACACAGGCTAAGGAATTAAGAATGGAAACAAGTTCAGTGAAACAGATAATACAGGTTATTGATCTTTGGTGAACGCAAGCCCATTTCTTGCTTTGTCTCACCCGATTCAAAGCTAACATTGGTCAGATCGATGTGTTTCCTTCAGTTTCACTTTCAATGTGGACGACATACCAGTGCGGTACTCAGCCACGCAGACCAGCAACTCTGGACTGTATACAGTTATCTGATCTGAGACATGGCTTCAGTATGAATGATACCAGTGACCTTAGCATTCTTAAGCTAAGAAAGGGAAATAGATTAAGTGGGTTCTTGCTTCAGATCACTATCCATTGACTTGCTAGAAAGTGGTCATTGGTGGCCGTTGGCGGAGGAGATGAAGCTTCAAGGTTGCAACTCCGCTTGTCGAATAGCCCACCAACATTCACTGCCTGAGCTCATGCATGATGATCAGTTATTTATGTTACATATTGGAGGGATGCCAGCATCCATAGAGCTGTACCAGTCAAGGTCCTTCAGGAAAGGCCAGAAGATTGAAATTCAGTTTTTTTAAAAATGATCATTTACAACCCCGTCAGGACAGGAATCCAAATTGGCTAAAAATTGCCATGAGAATCTGTTGGATGAAAAGAGTCAGGATTAAAGTGTTGGGTGTGATCAGTTGATTGATTGACTGCCTTCCTGCCTTTTACACATGGTGGTTGGAATTCATTGAGTAAAATATTATTTCACAGCAATGAGGATGGCGTGAAAGGAATTATTGTGCGTGTTACAGCTACCCTTGGTGGAACAAGGCAAGAAAGGGGTTACAACAGCAAAATAGGCATTGTCGCACTTCAGAGAAAATTAAAATTTTCCAGTGAGGAACATTCCCCTCCCCAATCAAAAAAGACAACTTGTAGACTCCTTCAAACAGCCACATCTGGACGCGCAGCAAACTGCTCTCCAAAAAAATAGCAGAGTTTGGTTCTGATGTAAACACCAAGATGAAGCAGGTGGTAATGGTGCCACAGGTGCAATCCAGTGCCTAAGTGAGGGTGGAGGACTCCATTGTTGTAGATGGCACCTGAGCACAAGCTTCATTCTCCGTGTTATCTAAGTCAAAGCTTCACCTCATAACAGACACAGCAAATCGCTTTATTGTTAAGAATTCTCACCTGTCGGGGGAGTTTATTAACCAACCGCAGATATTCCTTGTCCAGAATACAGTTACCCAAGACGTTTCCAAAGGACCTGAAAAGCAGACCAAAAAAAAGACAAAACGGTAATGATTTGCAAATGCTGCGTTTACGCTGTTAAATGACCAACTCGGGTCAAACTCGCTTTCTCTTTATTTGTTCACCTTCTCATTCATTTGTTGTGCTTCTCCATGTAATTAGCAGTTCTGAGCCAACAGGGGAATGACAGAGAGTATAAATGGAGAATTAAATAATTTACCGTATTTCAGTGAATTTGTTTCAAAATACTGAGACTTTAAACAGTGATCTTTTCTCCGCTGCTCGGCTAACTCATGTGTGCTGCGTCCCCCCCACTCTCGCCGAGCCACCATCGGGGGCTGAGTCTTCAGCAACTGCGACCCTAACCTCTGGTCCTCCCTATCAGGATCCCTCCGAATCGTCTATTCTCTATCTGTCTTGAAGTCCTGCCAAAAATCTTTCTACAGTCACCTACCCTTCACAGCCTCTGACTTGTCTTTCTGAAGCGTTCTGAGATTTTATCCTTAATGAATGGTGCAAAAACAATGCACTGCTATCTTTTCCCTCAAAAAAGAACTCCAGTGCTGGATCACTTGCTGTCATTAATCGTGGATTAATTCATCTTTTTAATGAGCAACAATAACAATATATAAGATACCAACAAGGGGATCTGAAAGCGAATTTAGGAGGAACTACTTCATGCAGAGGGTAGTTAGAATCAGGAACTTGTTGCCTGAGGTGGTGGTTGAATCAGATCATAGAGATGAATTTAAGAGAAAGCTTGATGAGGGAGAAGGGAATAGGAGGGTATGAGAGGGAGAAGGAAAAGAAGGGTATGAGAGAATAAAGGGTATGAGAGAGAGAAAGGTTTGGGGTGGAGTAATGTAAGTAATGTATAAACACCATCAGACAAGTTGAATTGAATGGCCTTTTTCTGTGATGCAGAATCTATGTAAATTTACATAAAAACATGGAGTCCGTTTATTTCATCGAAGATGTTGTTTCTGATTTTCAAATGTAAATTATTGGAAATGTTTTGAATTGCTTTCATCTGATAATTTTAGTATGATTATATTTATTTTGTTTATCTTTCGAGATCTTGGCTGCCTGGTCAGATGAACGTTAAAGATCACATGGCACTAATTAAAAAGAGGAGGGAGTTCCTCCTTGTTGTCTGACAAACCATCTCCCAGATACAATTGGTCATTCACTTCATGGATGTTTGTGGGACATTGTGCAACATTCACCTACAAATGCACAGTCACACAAAGGTGTTTGAGACATTTTGACAACCTGATAAGGTGCTTTTTTCAAATGCAAAAATTATAATGCACATTATTATAAAAATTATCCTAATTGCTGTGCCATTCATCATAAAACACGAAAAAGATTGAAGGCTTTTAGATTTAGATAAGATGTATTGAAAGACCATCCTCAATACACTTCTCCTGCTTGAAGCTAACTCTCAAAGAATTGCACTAAAGAGTGACTGCTATTGTAAAGACATGGTTAAGTACTTCAGAGATCTTTTCAGTCCGTCGGTGACAGCTTCCTTCCTGGCTTTCTCCAAGGACAGGGCTTTAGATTTTAGTCCTTCACTCACTCCATAACCAACATCTTCATGGTACGACCCATCCTAGTTAGAAAGACAGAAACAAAAATAAAATCAATTGGCACTGCATAACAAAGCTACACTGCCAATTGTCAATTTATCATTCAAAGTGCCTGAAACACCCACAATTGCGGATAACAGATGCTGTACCTTGAGCTGTACTTTAACAAATGCACTGACGCCCACATAGAATTTTCCATTAATGAGATCCACAAAATCTGAAACACAAAGAAGGCAAGTGGCAAGATTTTAAGTCCAGCACATCTTGTGAATAATAATCCTTGCATTTAATATAGCATTTTTCATGTATTCTAGACGTCTCAAATGCACTTAAGGTGAGGTTCTAGGCAATTGAGTAACTGAGATAAGGGAAAAGCCTGTTCTACTGTACCCATCAACAACACAGCAAATTATATTTGCCAATGTTGGGCTGTCAGGGCAGGGGACATGGAGCATGCCAGAGTCTGCTGAGCGGAGACGCCATCCTTCATCAAGCTTTTGTTTCCAAAAGAACCCAAACAATTCAAAGCTCAGACAGAAAAAAACATGATATATAATAATCCTTGCATTTGATATAGCGCCTTATCACGTCTTCAAGACGTCTCTAAGCGCTTCACAGAATATACTGTAAAGTGTAGTGACTGTGTATTTTGTGGGTGATCCTATAAGGCTTATATGGAGTTACTGACTGACAACCAGATGCCTCCTCCTAGTAGGCAGACAAAAGCTAGACTTTCCCCTTTCACCCAGCCTTGTAGAAGTTACAGATTAGCTGAACCCTGGAATTCATTTAGCTTGAAATCTAGGGTGGGCAGAGGGGAGGAAAACTAAAATAAAATGAAACTTCCTTTGAAATTAACAATTCTTTACTTGGAACAGTCACTCCAAACCAAAACACTCAATGTACTTACCAACATTTTGCTGTGTAATCGAGTGGGACCATCCATTATATCCAAAGAGTTCATTAGCAAGAGTAACCACTTTGTGACCCTCAATATAACAGACCTGAAAATATTGGCAATTAGCAGACATGAAAACATGCGTGACAAGTGCGGGATCAGAAAAGTACAATTTCTTTGAGGATTACGTGCTTTTATTCTCGTAATTCTCCTTCATAAAACTGCAAAATGGCACATTGCTTGCTCATACGTTTCATTCATATCGCAATCTGACTTCATGGGCCCGAACTGCTGTATTCAGTGATGAGTTGTATCCTCACCTCGAGAAGCAGCAAGATGCACTTGTCTCCTGCTGCATTTGGCCAAAAAAAGTCATTACACATTTGCGAAGTACAAATAAGCACAGCTGTTTGCTGCCAGTGTTTTGGATTCCGCTGGCTATGTAAACTACAACAACTTGCATCTATATAGCGTCCTTCACGCCAGACAGTGTCTCGGAGCACTTGAGCCTCTGGCTACTTCAGAACCTGAGAAAATAGCTAGTAATATGTTTTAAAACAATTGTGAGAAGTCATCCAATCTCGTGGAGTCCTGTAGCTCAGTGGTTAGAGCACTCACCCTGCGAGCGAGACACCTGGTTCAATTCCAGGCAGGGCGAAACCTTGGGCAAGTTTCCTTACTCCACACGCCTAATAATAATCCCTCCAAAACCAAAAACAATAATAAATTGGTCATTTTCAATCCATGACTGTTTGTGGGACACTGCTGTGTGCAATTGGCTGCTGCGTTTCGCCCACAAATATACAGTCATTTCACTTTACAGTCTATTCTGTGAAGTGCTTTGAGATGTCGAGAAGACGTGAAAAAGCGCTATATCAAATGTAAGGATTATTATTATATTACTATATCAAATGCAAGGATTATTATTATTACATCACTCACTGTGTAGGCGTGTTTCCTTACTCTACATGCCCTCTGTTTACCAAGCAGTAAATTGAAATCCCCGTTGTTAGTTGATGGAGACTCAATTTCCCGAGGTAATAATTCCTCCATATAAATATATATAATATATACATAAATAAATAGTAAGTAAGTAAATAGCAATTCAGCTGGGGCAGTGAAGATGTTTATCCTATAACCATAAGATAATGGGAAATATTATGTTATACATTTGTTTTTACATGTCCTCTCACTGTATACAATTGCACATCAACAACAACGTGAATTTATATAGTGCCCTCCATGCCGGAAGGCGTCTCAGAGCGCTTCACAGTAACGGATACCGGGGCTGAGCCAGGAGGAGGAGGAGGAAGGCGCAGTCGAAAAGAAAGATCTTCAGCCGAGACCTGAAAATAGGAATAGAGGGGGCGAGGCGAAGGGAATGAGGAAGGGAGTTCCAGAGCCTTGGGGCGTAGTGGCTGAAGGCAGGACCGCAGATGGTGAAGCGGAGGATTCGGGTGTCAAAGAGGAGGCCAGACTCGGTGGAGCGAAGGCAACGGGCACTGTTGTGAGGAGAGGAGGTCAGAGAAGTAGGGGGTGCAGAGGAGTGAAGGGATTTGAAGACAAGAGTGAGGATCGTGAAATCGATCCTCTTTGGGACAGGCAGCCAGTGCAGTCTGGCGAGGTCTGGAGTAATCGGGGAGCGGAGTTTGGTCCGGGTAAGAATGGAGTCTGGAGTAAGTGAGAGCTGAGTTCTCACAGCTGAGGGAGGGGGAAGTTATGTTTGCCTTAAGGAAGCGGTTTGTACGGAGGGAGTGAATGATCAATTTATCATCAATTTATAAGAGGACACTGGATATCAAATCCTCTCATTCCATCACTGGATTGACGTTTTATCTACTACTTTTCATTCTTACCTTTTGCCCTCCACCTGCTGGTCGCTGACTGATGTATTCTGGTCCGAGGCGTTGACGCAATGCGTTCTGGATTGCCTGATACTCTTCTGCAGTGTACTGATGCTACAATGAACAGAAACATTGCAGTCATTTTGTTTGGCTCGTCAAGTGGACATGTTTAAAAATCCGGCTTCACGTTTAGGTTCTAAAAATTGCAACTGTTGGTAAGTACATGAATCAACCATATGGTGAAGAAATGAGTCATACAGATCGGTAAGGTGCCAGATTTGCTCCCTGATGTAAATTGGAAGAGGCAATGGCTGCACACAATTAGCCTCAAATTTCCTGGTTCAGGGTAGGAGAAAAGACGATTGATTCGCTAAGGGTTTTGCTTCTGCTTGCAATTCAACAACCACTGGTGGATATGTATGTAGGGAGGGGAAAAGGAGTTTATGATCAGAATTATCAGAATTGATTCTGGCCCAATCAGTACTAACTTTGTTAGAATTAGTGTTTATTTGGTCAATAACAATTGCATTTAAATTAATTATTGGCTGATGGGAAAGGTACATTGGTTGGCCAGATTTGTTCATTCCCTCCCACTCTGTTCTTAAAACTCATCTAAAAATCTAAGTGCTTTCAACTACCTCCTGCAACCTTCCCCCCCATCCTTGTAAAGCATTTTGAGGCTTTCTCTGGGGTGAAGGTGCTATATAAGTGGTGTCAGGCAGGCTCAGTTGGTAGCATTCTCACCTTCAAGTCAGAAGGTTGTGGGTTCAAGCTTCACGTTGGGACCTGGAATTCATATCATCTAAGCTGACACATCTAAGTAATGCTGGGGGTGTGCTGCAATGTTGGAGGTGTGGTTCTTGGGATGAGATGTTAAAAACCGAGATCCTGTCTGGCTGTTCAGCTGGATGTTAAAGATCCTGCAGCACTATTTGAAGAGAAGGGAGTTTCTCCAGCTGTCCTAGCAGGAGTCCCGCAAATAAAATTGGTCATTCACTCCTTGGCTGTTTGTGCGACATTGCTGTGCGCAAATGCACAAATCGGTTTTTCATTTGCCCAAAAAGCACAAGTTAATCCACTTTGCAATATATCTTGTGAAGCACTTTGGATGTCCTCCGGACGCCACAGGCCACAAATGCAAGGATTATTATTCTGTTGTTGTTGACTTTAAGGTTTGCTTCCTAAAATAATGTACTAGAATGGATGGTTGCACTTACCAATCTACAGCACAAGTAATTAGCACAGTTGAAGCTGTTTGAGGTGGTCTCCAGGTGTGCAAAGTGCTATATAAATGCAAATTATATTGCGTAATTAAAACCTTAAGCTTTCTAAAATAAATAATTGCATCGTGGATTTGTCAGTCCATTACTTGAATTAAAAGCACAAATATAAACTCAGAAGTAAGCACTGAATTGTCATGACCATCATCCAATGTCACAAGGGACACATTTATTACTTGATAGAAAAACTTTTACAAATGACGTGTAAGTGTAAATGCATATCACTGGATCAGCATTTTGTTTTATACGCTTAGATATTTTCTGTATTTGCTTTACTTGCAAACAAGTAAAGCAAATACAGCAAATAAGGAAATGTAATTTTGAAACAGACCAAGTTGGACAGATATTTGCTGTGCAGAATTGCTTGTCATCATTGCTGTGTTTCCTGAACACTGAACACTGCTGAAAGCTCCTCCTGAGACAGCAAAAAAAATATGCAGCTCGACCTCAGTCGAAGGTGCTCATCAACCCTTAATTTTCTGGGACTCGTGAGCTGCACTGCAGTGACTGTCCCCCCGGTCCCGGGTGACTTGTTGCTGTTGGAAAGTGCAGCGTTAACAGTTCACAACTCGCGAACAGGAACACAACAAAGACAAAAACACGACCGGTGCGCAGATCGGGACACCGCCGCACTGACCTGCCCGAAGCAAACCGGCGCGCCGCGGGAAGCACAGCGCCGCTCTTCATTTCCGGACATCCTGATGCGCCGACACACCGGAGGAGCTCAGTCCCGAGGCGGTGCCGCAGCGCCGCCGAAGGGGACCTGTCAACCGCGCGCGACCTGTAACTCGCCGCGTTCCAAACACCGGGGCGGCCGCGCTGCCTCCCGGGAAGAAGGTCAGATCGGAACCCGCACGGAACGTCGACCCTGGGAGTGAGGTCGGCGGCTGCTCCCAACCAATTCCCTCCCGTGTGGCCGCCAAGAGCGAGGTTTGTCGGGAGGGCGGGCGGGAGGGCTGCGCGCGCGGGCGCGCTCTGGCTCGCGGGGCAACATGGAGGTGTAAGCCGCGGTGCACGCTGGGAATTAAAGAACGCCAGCGACGTACGTGCGGGCGGGCGGTGCGCGAGAAGGAGGAGGAGGGGAGGGGTTTGCGTCAGTTGGAAGTGAAGTGCTTTCCTCGGCGGAGATCTCGCCGCCGGTCGCTGTACTCTCTTGAGCGCGAGGCAGCGAGGCGAAAAAAAGCGGTTGGGGGGGGGGGTGTGTTCTGTCAACTTACCTCATCCTCACCGACACCCGAATTATTGTGTTTGCAAACCGTGGCGGACTCCGGCAGGTAAGTCACGGAGCGTGTGCCGAGTCACTGAGCGCTCGCGGCCGCACCAACTGTCACCGAGGTGTGAGCGACGGCCAAGCGCCGAGCGAGAGGTGCCGCGTCCCGACAGTGCAGGAGACGAGAGGCTTTTCCAGCGGGTTAGGAAAGGGAGGGCATTGACCGCCGCTCGGTGTGTGTGTGTGTGTGAGAGAGACAGACAGAAATGGCAGCTCTTTCTCATCGCTTGACGTGGACGCGGCATTGACAAGGTTTCAGGTGCTCGCAAAGCAGCAAGTTTTGTTTTAACTCCGCGGACAAGAGGGAGTCATTTTATTTTCGTTTGGACGTTACTCGGCTCCCTTTTTTTCTTGGAAATGAAACCCTTCTCCCTGTGTATTTGAATAACTCCCCTCTCTCCCCCCCTCCTCTCCCCCCCTCTCCCCCTCTCTCCCCCCCCCTCTCCCCCCCCTCTCTCTCCCCCCTCTCTCTCCCCCTCTCTCCCCCCCCTCTCTCCCCCCCCCTCTCTCCCCCCCCTCTCTCCCCCCCTCCTCTCTCCCCCCCCTCCTCTCCCCCCCCCCCTCTCTCCCTCGCTCACGTAAAATAAATCCCGGTTGAAGGCCGCTCGGCGCTGAGTGCCTCGGTTTGCTCAGCCCCAGGGCTGTCCACGCAGTGACCAGGTGCCGACACGGGTGGGAAGCGAACGGGTCAGTCAGTGACCGCGAGTTTGCTGTCACACTCGCCTCTGCTGATGTCCCAGACTCACAGGAGTGAGTGAACACCAGTGATTTCCTGAGTGCTGAGCTGAGCTGTGATTATTTGTCCCTTTACAGTTTGCCTTCTTGTTGTTTTTAACTTGTTTTCGTTTCTTGTGCATATAAAACCGATTTTGTGTTGGCAATCGACCTTAAATATTGTTGATTTTGGAGTTATAAAAGCTGCTTTTAGTGTCGTCCTCCCCACATGTGTCAACTGAACTGTTTGGATATCAAATGTTTGGAATGACATTGTTGATATTTTGAATGAATTTTAAGAGAAAATAGGTAAATTGCTCATCGGAAGACTTTTCCTAAATATTGGCTTTTTACTATTCATAATTCTGAGAAGAGGCTAATTATAATTGTTTTTCTTAAAGAGTATATTTAATTACTGACCACCAGTTGTTTTTTTTTAAAGACTGAGTCTGTGAAATGAAAAATCATTGGAGCACAGTTCCAAGAGCTTCACTGGATTTACTGTTAAGTGTAATGACTGTTTTGTAAACTAACGTGACAGTTAGTTTGCACACAGCAGTGTCTCGCAAATAGCCATGATGTAAATTATCAATTTTAGTTTGGGGATTGTTGATCGTGACATTGGGAGAAACTGCTTCTCTTAAGAGTATTTACTTCACTTAAACAATTCATCATTTTCATTTTCTGCTGATTTTTTTTAAAAAGAGAGGTGTGCAAACTGTTTTGGCAATATGTATGAAGTTTTATCACCAGCGGTGTATGTTTCTTTAATGTAAAATTAACGCTGAAGAAGTTGCAAAAACTTCCAATCGAGAGAATCGTTTTTCCTCAGTTGTGTAGGTTCATCATATGGAGCCTGACTTCTGCTTCCCATGAAGGGCATTGGCCAGTGGCAACCTACATCTTGTGGGCCTGAATGAAATGAGGAATTCTGTTCTGGATCTCAAATATTTTTAGGAAGTTTGCTTTTGAATAGAAAGGGTACTTTAAACTATGCAGTTTCCCATTTTCCTCCCTTATGAAGCTGTTGACTCATTGGCCTGACGTTCTATAAATAGCTCACGTCAACATCCTTTCAATACCTTGCCCACAAGGCAATTTTGAATGCTAAAAGTAGCAGGCTTGTTTAGTATTTTATCTAAATTAAATTTGCTTTACCATGACTTAAGTTAGAAATGATGTCATTCTGGAATAGACTAATTAACACTTTAAGCTTTAAACAAGGAATGTGTTAACTGTTAATTAAACATTTGTATGTTGTTGGCATAAGATAATAGTGGTGAACCATTGTCTAAAAAGTATACAAAAAGTTCAAGTGATGAGAAACTGTAATGATTGTCAGTTGAACAAAACGGTTGTTCATCTACATATCAACAGTTACTGCATAGAGCAGTAAATGCTGCAAAGTGTTTTGAGTCAAATTGATGTTACATTTCCAATAAAAGATAAATTCTCTTTTGTAAAATACAATTTCAGTATTTGCCTAATTCTTATTATTAATGGCTTTTAGAACAAGGTAATTTTTATATTGTGATTACAATATTTGCTGAGCCTAGTAACAATAACAACAGTTACATTTTTATAGCGCCTTTCACATCGGAAGGAACTCCCAAAGCACTGAACAGTCAGGCATTGGACCCAAGCAGGGGGTTGGGATCAGGAGGGATGGAGGATAGTGAGGTAGGGGTACATCGGTGCACAAAGGCACAGTTGGATACGAGTCTAATCTCCACATACCCTGATCCCAACACCCCTGCTCGTGTCCAAATCCCTGACTGTCCAGTGCCTGACGTGAAAGGCGCTATACAAATGTTTGTTGTTGTTGGAGGAGGCAAGGGGTGGAGTTCCAAAGGGTGGGGGCAAAGAAGCTGAACGATCGACCGCCAATGGTGGGTTGGGATCGGCAGGACACGTGGAGCAGGCAGAAGCCTACTGAGTGGAGGGAGCGAACAAAAGCTCACAGATTTAGGAAGGAGCAAGACCATGGAGGGCTTTGAAGGCAAGGACAAGGATTTTGAACTATCCTCTTGGGGATGGGGAGATAGTGGAGATGGGTGTCGGTAATAGGGTCACGGAGCCTGGTACGGGAGAAGACATGAGCTGCAGTTTCTGAATTGTCAAAGTCACTAATGACGTCTTCTCAATCTGTGACCAGGGCTCCTTCTGCCCCCTCGTCCTCCTAGAGCTCTCTGCTGCATTCGACACAGTCGACCACACCATCCTCCTCCACCTCCTCTCCTCCTTCATCCACTTTAGAGGGACAGCACTCGCATGGTTCGAGTCCTACTTAACCAACCGCCTCCATTGCATATTGGCAAATGGTTTCTCCTCTCGCCCAGTCACCTGTGGGGTACCCCAGGGCTCCATCCTTGGCTCTCTTCTTTTCCTTATCTATATGCTCCCTCTGGACAACGTCATCTGCAAACGCAGGGTAAACTTCCACATGTATGCGGATAGCACACAAATCTATTTTGCCGCCTCCTGTGCCAACTCCAGGTCCACCGATGTTCTATCAGCTTGTCTGGCAGATATCAGGGCCTGGATGAGTGCAAACCTCCTGCAGCTGAATTGACATTCAAGCCATACTCCTCGACTCTCGTCAATGTTTTCACTCCTGCGGATTTGAACTCCTCAAACTCTGTTCTCTCACTCACCGAACCAGTTCACGATTTAGGTGTCCGTTTTGATCCGCAGCTGTCCTTCCGGTCCCTGAACAGGATGCCTTCTTCCATCTCTGCCACATTGCCTGCCTCCAACCTTGCCAAATGCAGACGAAGCCCTCGTGCATGCGTTTTGTCACCTCCCACCAGGAATACTCAAAACGCACTCCTTGTCCATCTCCAGCTCCATTATTCAAAAGATCCAGCTCGTTCAGAACTCTGCTGCCCGCATACTTACCCGGACCAAACTCCGTACCCACATCTCTCCCTCAATCCCTCCGTCTTGCCCCTTCTCCCCTTTTTTAAAGTCCTGCCTGAAAACCTTCCTCTTTGACTTCCTCTTCCACCTGAATAGAAAATAACAAATTAAACTCTGTTTCTGTTCACCTAGAGGGATCCTCCTTTCGTTACCAGCTTTATGAAATTCAGATTTTTAAATTAAAAATTGGTGTCAGGGATACTTCCCACTCAGTTCCTGCTAACCCTGCAAGCCAAATCCAGAACGAAAGGTGGTCCCAAATGGACAATATAATGCTCTCACTGCCCAGCTGTTTGGTTTTTGCTGGTTAAGTTCCAGCGATTCCCAAGTTCTGAGATCCCCAAGTGTTGGATCTCGTTCATCTGGAATAAAGTCAGCAGGTTGTGCACCTTCAAGGAGAGAGTGCATATCCCATTTTAGATAAAGAAAAATTTTCATTTGTAGGTAGAAGTCTGTGTGGTCTGGATACTGAAACATGGTGATAAGATTTGACATGTCAGACACCCATCTGGTTGACAAAAAAAAATGGAAAAATGGTGGGAACAATTGTGCTTTCGCTAATAGTAGTGTTAACTGAGAAAATGGTGTAATTAATCACCATGTATTGACTCTTGAAGGAAAGCACTTGTGTTAGCTGGTGAAAAATGCTGTCATGTCCTCTATGGTTGAAATCTTTTGATGCTCAAACCAGAAGAATGACCATTTGACCCAGGTACTTTAGTGTCGCTGGCTGTGGAACCATATCCCCAAAGAGTCAGTACCTTGTTAAATATGAGAAATAATGGACAAAAAAGAATTTGAGTATCAAATCACAAATCAATCATACAATTGCTGAATTTAATGAAGTGCATTTCTACCACTTCGTCCACTCAGCAGGCTTCGGCCTGCTCCACCATTGGCAGTCAGGCTTTCAGCCTCTCTGTCCCCACCCTTTGGAACTTCATCCCACATTCCCTTCACCTTGCTCCCTCCCTTGCCTCCTTCAAGACACATCTCAAGACTCTCCTCTTCGACCACACCTTTGGCCACCCTCCCTGCTCCCCACCCTCCCTGATCCCTACTGCTGGTGCTCGGGTCCAAATCACTGACTATCCAGCACTTGGGATGTCCTCCCGACGTGAAAAGCACTATTCAAATGTAATTTTTGTATTTTAAAGGCAGTGAATTTAAAAATCGTTACTTAATCCTGCAGCTATTTCTTCCCTCTATCCTTTGATATTGCACCCTGAAAAAATCTTTCACCATGGTTATTTTATAAATAAATACAGTAAATTCAACTGCTGTGTAAACAAATTTGATGGACTGGGTAACGCATTTCTAGAAATGTTGTCCATAATAGCTTCTGGTAAACCAAGCAGTTTAAATGTTCTGGAGGATAACAAAGTGCTGTATTACAATGCTTTCCCAAAAATGTATGTTGAAATATTTTCAAGGCATATTGATGGGATTTTCTTTATTAAAAGGTTTGCTTCTTGTGTTATGGTGTTCACTGCCTATGTACTCTTGGACAATTTTTACAGATTGGGCAGATGAATGCTTCAGATTGTCTGGTATTTTTTTCTCGTATCATGCTGGAAGATGTGCAATTGGCACGTGTGCTTTTTTTGCAACGAGATGGGAAGAAACAAATTAATAGAATACTGGCATTTGATCTTAGATCTTATTGTATTGAAACCTCTCAAACTTTCAAGTTGTGGCGCCGGTTTATAGACAATCTATGCCCTTGCTTGTTGAAATTTCCTTTATATCAGCTTCTGCATCCACTTCATCATGGGTGATTTAAATCTCCATTTCATCCCTTTGTGTCTTATCTCCGCTGTCTTCAGCCCTCCTTTCTTCCCTCAACCTTGCCCTTTACATTATTTCCTCCCACCCAAATCCATAGCTATCCTCTCAGCATCATCTCCATCTCCAAAAGAAATGAGGCTATCTGACCACTTTTTCAGTTCTCTCACTTTCCACATTCCCCTCTCTGATTACCAAACCTTCAACCATCTCTTACCATTAGATCTGTGCTTGCATTTTCTCTCATATGAATTACCTAATATCCTCTGGATATAAAACCAGGAATTTATTTTTAATTGCTATATGGATCTGTCCTGCCACATTTCATGACATGAAATAATACATCAAGGTCTCCCTTTTCCTCTTCATTTAAAATCTTATTTACAGTGCAGCGAGTGTTGTAAAGACCCCCTAAACTACCAAAACAGGCAGACGTCTTTAACATGTTATCTAAAAGATGGCACTGCCAAAAATGCAACTCTCCTAGCATAAGTGCAGCATTTTGAGTTGACTCCTTGTCTGGGCTCAAACCGACATTTCTCTGATTCAGAGATGAGAATTGTACCAACTGAAGCAAAACGTGACTTTTAAGATACAGGCAAGATTAAGTTCTCACTGTTTCAAGGCATGGCATGATTCTCCAAGAAATGTTTCTGTGATTTTTTTTATTGTCAAAAGTTGAGATGTTGTGGATATTAATTAGTTATATTGTTTGTTTTAACAGATGATATTCCAGTGGCCTATGGAACCCATCAAACTTGAATAAAATGTGCTCATTCTGAAAACCTTTACCGCTGAAACCAAAAAAACGAAACTTTTTTTTGAAATTCACATTTAGCTGAATTCTCTTCAATCATGTACGGAAGTGCTCGGACAGTGGGTAAAGCGGAGCAAAGTAATCAGAGCCCTGGTCGCTCACCAAGACTGCCACGATCGCCCCGTCTTGGTCACCGGCGAACAAACAGTACTGGGGGTAATTCTGGTGCAAATCCTGGAGGTGGAGGTGGGAAAACTCTTTCTATGGAGAACATCCAGTCACTGAATGCTGCGTATGCCACATCTGGTCCCATGTACCTCAGTGATCATGAAATGGTTGGTATAGATTCCCCTAAAAGTATAATGACATTGGGCAGACCTTCTGGACGCCTGCCATATGGTGTTAGAATGACGACAATGGGGAGCAGCCCTAACATTGCCACAACTGGTGTGGCCAGTGATACCATAGCTTTTGGAGAACATCATCTGCCAACTGTGAGCATGGCATCTACTGTGCCTCATTCATTGAGGCAAGCTAGAGATAATACCATCATGGATCTGCAGTCACAACTGAAAGAGGTCCTTCGTGAGAATGATCTGCTTCGCAAAGAAGTAGATGTAAAGGAGAGCAAGCTCAGCTCTTCCATGAATAGTATCAAGACGTTCTGGAGTCCTGAGCTGAAGAAGGAGCGAGCAATTCGAAAGGATGAGGTGGCAAAAATAACTGTATGGAAAGAGCAATTTCGGGTTGTGCAAGATGAAAATCAGGTAGGCTTTGAAATAAGGTTTTAAACTTTTTACCTTCCACTTCCCCATCTCCTCAATTTTAAAGTGAAGTAAATAGATTTGCAGTGGAGTTTCAATCCCTATTGAAGGATAAACAGAAAGCTTGAGGTAAAATGTTATGATAATTTTGCTGGTTTAGGATTGTTTTCTGGAGATTCCATCTCACATTTTTTTTATTGTATAATGGGTATAGAAATTACATTTTGCTGATTAAAGAAAAAATTCTCATAGCCAACATGGATTAACATTTTAGAATTTTGAAGCCCATTGGCTCAGAATAAATTTTGTAGATTGATACAGTAACAAAGTAACAATTGAAAGAGTAAGAAACATGCTGTCCATTTAGTTAAGGATCTTTGACGTTTATACCTATTATTTTCTTCTGTAACTTCAGTTTGAACAAGCTCTATAGTTTTATAGAACCCATGAAAATTTAGGTTGCTTTAAGTGGGAGGCATAAATTCCTGGTGCTCAACATATTCTTGATCCTAGAGCTGAATTTCAGAACTGTACAACCAATCCCTTCTTATAAAAAACTAAGCTTCATATCTCCTTAAATGTATTGCCTTGGCCAAACACACAATAATAATAATAATAATAATACTTGCATTTGATATAGCGCTTTTCACGTCGGGAGGACGTCCCAAAGCGCTTCACAGAACACACTGTAAAGTGAATTGACTGTATATTTGTGGGCGAAAGTGGAGTCCTGTAGCTCAGTGGTTAGAGCACTCGCTTTGCAAGCGAGAGACCTGAGTTCAATTCCAGGCAGAGGGCGAAACCTTGGGCAAGTTTCCTTACTCCACACGCCTAATAATAATCCCTCCAAAAACCAAAAACAATAATAAATTGGTCATTTTCAATCTACGACTGTTTGTGGGACATTGCTGTGCGCAATTGGTGCCGCGTTCGCCCACAAATATACAGTCAGTTCACTTTACAGTATATTCTGTGAAGCGCTTTGGGATGTCCTCCCGACGTGAAAAGCGCTATATCAAATGCAAGGATTATTATTATTATTAGTCAGCTATTGTATAAGCACATATCTGTCACTGCATTCCCTTTGGCAAACAAAAGGGTTCTAACAAAAACAGAAGTTGCTGGGAACATTCAGCAGATCAGGCAGCATCTATGGAGAAAGGAAAGTTGAGACAACGTTTCGGGTCCACGACCCTTCGTCAGAACTGGGGCATGTTGGGAGGGAGAGGCTTTTAAGGGGTAACAGAGAGGTGGGAGATAGAGCAAGGAAGACAAAGGAGAAAATGGGGTAGAGGACAGGGGATAATAGGATAAAGAGGTGTTAATGATGCAAAACAAAGGGGGGATTGCAACAATGCAAGGGAATAAAGATGTTAATAATGCAGACCAAAATAGGGTGGGGGAAAGGATTGCAACAAAACAGGCAGACCAGAAAGAGAAAAGGTGTGTCTGGCACCATAATGATGTGCTAATGGTCACAGAAGAGGGGGAGGGGGAACGTGAGCTGTTATGGTCTGAAATTGTTGAAATCAATATTCAGGCCGGGGGCAGTAAGGTCCCTAGCAGATAAATGAGATGCTGTTCCTCGAGCTTGCGCTGTGGCTCATTGGAACAGTGTAAGAGACCGTGGATGTAGAGGTCAGATTGTGAGTGGGAGGGCGAGTTGAAGTGGCAAGAAACCGGAAGCTCAGGGTTGTGCTTGCGGACAGAACGGAGGTGTTCAGCAAATTGATCACCCAATCCGCGTTTTGTCTCCCCAATGTAGAGGTAACCACATTGTGAGCAGCGAATGCAGTAAACTACATTGGTGGTAGTACACGTAAATCGCTGTCTCATTTGAAATCTGTGTTTGGGGCCCTGGACAGTGGTTTGTGAAGAGGTGAAAGGGCAGGTATTGCATCTACTGCGCTGGCTTGGGAAGCTGCCGGGGGGAGGAGAAGAGCTGTTGGTGGTGATGGAGGAATGAACCAGGGAGTCACGAGGAAGCGAGAAGGCTTCCAAAAACTCTATAATTAAAAAAATATTTACAGCAAGAAAAATTTCAAATGTGCTAAATGGTTTAAAAATGGTGAGTGTCAGCAAACTGTTGAGTGGACATCACAGCTTGAGTCCCATATTGTCCACATGCAATGTTTGTGCAGTTGCAAACTATGTGATCAAGAGTGAGCATATTAGTTGATTTGTTTAGCTTTTCTTTCTTCAAATACTCAATCGACTTAGGGAAACTTGACACAGATTGCAATTCGGCTGAGGTCAGCTAATTCAACATTGATTAAAAAGATTTAAACCTCAGGACCTTTCTTATGGCTCCATATCATGCTGGGTGATAGATGATCCGATTGAACTATTGCCGACTGAATAAAAAAAATCCAGCATAATTTTCTTCTATCTTCAACCCCTTGTTGCATGGAGATCAGGATCTGCAGCAGTGAGGGGACAGAAGATGAGATAACTGCGCTGTGGTGCTACACATTTGTGTTTTGATGCAGTGTGCATGCCACTTGCCATAAATCTTCAAACATCTGTATGGGAGTGAATGAGCCCAACAATTTTTAAATTTCTGCAGTGCCCAAGTATTTTTCCTTAATGGTTTTGATATTGCAATATTTTCACAGGAAACATTAGATTAGTCACTACAGCACATTAAATTAGTCATCCCTTATTTGTTGCAGGATATTCAGGGCTGAGCTTGTTCTTTGGCAATCTGGCTTAGAGTGTGAAAATTGTTGAACTCCATTATTTTAATGGTACAACATTTCTTAGACCCCAGCTGTCATTGGCAATGCATTTCAGCTTCAATGCTTTAGAACTTGTTGATTTGGATTGTTCCACAGGTGAAGGATGTATTTGAGATACAAAATTGTTTGGATCTTCAAGATGAATGAAAGACAAGTGTACTTGAATAATGGATTTCTGTTTGGTGAGGTGCCTTTTTGATGGAATGAAGATTGTTGAACTGATGCCCCAGAAGGATTAGCAGCAGTCATTAAGCACTTGTAAAATGAAATGGTGGATATACATGGAAGCTGTTAAAATAGGTCAACCCCATTAGAATGTGCCCTAATTGAGCTTATTGAGCTGGGCCACAGTCGATCATCTGTTTTCCAGTGCTGTCCAGCCATCTTCTTGTACTCCAAAATGGCCATCTGATGGGTCTTTGGGTTGAGCTGACTTCATTGCATGTGCGGAATTGGGACTGTTGGCAACTGTATATCGGATTCTTTACAGTGGATTATAAATAATGTAGTTATTCTGTGTAAAGAAATGTCTGTATGGTAGTTTGTTAGTTGTCTTTTAATTTGATTTAGTGGTGAAATTAATGCTTAGGTTGTGTCAACCTAAGCATTAATTTGAGGGGTTGTTTCCAACCCCTCAGTGTCAGGCTTACAGCCACTGAGTGGAGGTCAGAAGCTATGCTACAAGTGGTGGTGCGGGTGGGGTGAGCGGTGCAAGAAATTGGAGAACATTCACCTTTGGCTTCCATTGCATTTTATTGGGTGTTTGTGTTGTTGAAGTTCAAAAAGAAAGAGAAGGTGATAGGAAAGATTGGGTTTCATGTCTCTTCTCTCCATTGGAAATCCCATGTCATTTGCCGTACATCGGAGTGAATTATTTGCATGTAGGATTCTTTGTATACCAGTTTTCTTTTGGATCAGTTCAAAGTTCAGCCATTTTGTCTTTGCCTTGTTAGTGAGTTGACTATTTTTAAGGTTTTTGATAAGTTAACTTAATGTAATGGATATGTTGGCTCTGAAATCTCAGAATCTTTTGTCTTAAATATAAGATTATACATAATTGTGGAAAAATCATTTGTCGGGTTTCTTTTAAGAACTGTGGAAAACTATTTTCTAAATTGAATAAAGAATTTTCCACAACTTTGGGCAATCTTAAGCTTGGAGGCTAAGACTTAAACAAATCTTAACCAATTACCTTGCAGTCTAAGTTGAGATGTAGTATTTGTCTTTGAGTGCCTCTGCCAATGTTTCCTCACTCCCGGTTGTGACCTCAACCATCTTGGTCTCTCTTTCTCAAACTCACTCTTGTTGTCCAGTTCGATCCTCAGCTCTCCTAAACCCTCTGCCCCTATTTACCAAATGTTGCTGAAGCCCATGTGCATGTCTTTGTCAATTGTTACTTGGACTTTAAAATGTATTCCCCATCGTCTCCGCCCCCCCACCCCACAAGTATCATGCACGACTGTTTGTGGGACACTGCTGTGTGCGATTAGCTGCTGTGTTTGTCCACAACATATACAGTTAGTTCACTTTACGATATATTCTATGAAAGGCTTTGAGATGGCTCAAAGACGTGATAAGGCGCTATATCAAATACAAGGATTATTATTATTATCCATAAGGTCCAGCTAGTCAAACTCTGCTGCAGCATCCTTATCTGCACCAAACTCTGCATGTTTATCACCTCAATTCTTTCCAGGTTCCTTTATGTAGCAACGATCGATGTTGAAGTGCTCATTCTCATCTATATCCCTTCACACCTAAGCACCACCCACTACTCTGCTCACCACCTCTGCTTGGCAAATGTGGGCCTGCTGCACATCCCCACCCCCTCCGCTTCACCGTCAGTGACTGAACATTCAGCTGCTGCATCCCTAACCTCTGCAACTCCCTGCTTCTAACCCTCTTAAACTGGATGCATCCCTCCAGACACATTCCATTCTAACAATTTATCTCTGGAATTTTCGTGTAGATGGGATGCATGGAACTTTCAGTTTAGTTTGGATTCACTCAAGCACGGTGCTGGGTTTCTGCACGTGTCAAACAACCGGCTGATNAAAAAAATGGATCTAGAACTTGGTATATTTATGTCATCCAGGTTTGGGCTCGCCAACAAGTGAGCACAGCCAATCAACTTCCACCCTCTAATTAGGATTTAATAATCCTAACCCGTCTATCACTTCCCGTCTCTTATTGTCCCAAATCTGGAGAGAAAAGTTGCAAGCTGTCCAATCTTTCTTGACGATTATATCCACTCATCCCAGATAACTACTTTATAAATCTACGCTGAACTCTTTCCAGTGCTCCCAATATCTTTCCTGTAATATGGTGACTACAATTATACCAAAGTTTTATGCAAATTTAATATTACTTCCCTGCTGTTATATTCTATTCCTCTAAGCATGCATTAGAGCTGTCTTCTGTTGACTATTGATTTGCTCTCCGATGTCTACATTCTGATATTCATTAATAGGCAAAAGTGAAGCCATTAAAGATCAGCTAAGGCTTCTCAATCACATTAAAGGCTAAAATCACATTGAAATATAAGTCAGTTGAACCCTGACTGTTCCAAAATATGATGCACAAGATCAGCAACAATCTTCTGGGTATCTGTCAAGACCCTCCTCTTATTATTGAATCTGCTGATACTTGGAGTCAGAGTGGAACATTGCATCCTCCACGTCAGTTATAAAATCTAAATTAGGAAACATTGTCTTGGTTTCTTTATCTATTTTTCCCTGAGCAGAGGTGATGCATCTGGTTTATTATTTGTTTGAACAATTTGGCTACCACCTGCCAGATGCTGCTATCAGCTACAATTCTACTCAAAGGAGCACTCTAAGCAGTTAAGTATTTCATTGTCCCACTCTATATTTTTAAACAAACTGTGATTCATACATACTTAAAGCAATTTTTTTTTGAAGTTTACCTTTATATATCTATATGCTCCCCCTTGGTGACATCATCTTCCACATGTTTGCGGATGACACCCAACTCTGGCTCTGCCTCCACTCTTGATTCCAGGACCACTGATGTCCTCACAGACTGCCTATTGGACATCAAGTGCTGGATGAGAGCCAACTTCCTGCAGTTGAATGTCAACAAGACCGAGGCCCTCCTGCTTGGCTCTTGTCAGCACCTCCATACCTTGGGCGCTGAGAGCATCTCCCTCCATGGATGCACTTTACATCTCATGGAGCCAATATGGAACCTTGGCAACCTTTTCGACCCTCAACTGTTCTTCATACCCCACATATGTGCCATGACCTGCTCTGCCTTTCCCCACCTCCGCAACATTGCTCGGCTTCGCCGAGACCCTCATACATGCTTCATAACATCCAGGCTCAACTACGCAAAATCCCTGCTTGTTAGCCTCCCCAACTCCTCCCTCCATAGGCTGCAGATCATCCAGAACTCTGCAGTCCGGGTCATCTCCCAAACCAGGCTCTGCGACCCTATTATCCCCACCCTCGTCCGACTCCCCTGGCTTCCCATCGCACAGAGAATACAGTTCAAGATCCTAGTCCTCACATTCACAGCCCTCCATGGCCTTTCTCTCCCCCTACCTCTGCGACCTCCTAAACCACTATCAGCCTGCCCGCTCTCTCCGCTCAGCGGGCTCCATCCTGCTTCATGTCCCGGCCTCGCTTGCCCCACGATTGGCGGGCAGGCCTTCAGCCACTCCGCTCCCACCATAGAGTCCCTCTGCCTCGCCCTCTTCCTTGTCTCCTTCAAGATCCATCTCAAGACCCTCCTCTTTGACCGTGCCATCGGTCATCCTCCTTGACCCCTGCCCCGCACCCTCCCTGAACCCGACCCCCAGCTTGGGTCCGAAACACTGATTGTCCAGTGCCTTGGGAGTTCCTCCCAATGTGAAAGGCACTATACAAATGTAATTTTGTTGTTATATTAAAGGGAGTAGAGGATAGTGAATTAATACTGAACATACTCTTGTAAGAAAGCAGCTCAGACCTTGAAATTATTTTATTACACAGTTCTTTGATTGCCCATTTAACTTCCCAATGTATTGGCTCCGTTTAAATCCAAGGGCATCCTGACAATTAGTACTTTCTGTACAGATAGTGATCATACACCAGGTGTTAGAACAGCTTTGGTAATTCTGAGGAAAACTTTAGTGTGTAACCTTCCCCTCTTTAATGTGTTAAAGTCAAACACGGGTCCAGACCAACCTGCGTTGGTAGCACTCTTGAAGGATTAGAAAGTGCCCCACACCAAGTGAGGTGCATGAACCATATCGTTCTTTTCCGAACAGAGAGAGCAGACCGGCCGGCATTGGTCGCATGAGCTACCTACTGTTGCCAGTCATGTGTTTTGCTTTTTCCATTGCCCAATTCAACTTGAAATATTTCCCACTTGCTGGGGGAATGCTTGGTATGGTGAGAAAAATTATGTGATGTTGACATTTTATGTTGTACCCTTATTTAAATTATTTTGTAAAGAGCCATGATTTGTTTTACTAACAATTATTCTTTGAACTAAAAGCTTGATAATATCACGCAGACGTAAATCCCCTCATCCAACTTAAATACATTTTTTGAAGCTTTGGAACATTGAAGTTAACATTAACGTTAGGGTGATTTGAAGTTGACAAAAGGTAAACATAGTCAAATATAGCCTCAACTTATCCGCCAAGGCTTTTTTTAGGATCAATTATAAATTCACAATGTATTGTGATTGAGAAGCATATTCACTTTTTGTAATGATTTGGCAGATTTGTTTAACTTGTAATTATTTATAGCCTGAACTAAATTCCAGGTTATGCTCTTTCTATCCAGTTTATCAGCTTCTACCATGTTGGAAAAAATATTGGCTGTGTGGCTTTGTAGGCAGTCGTGATTACATTCTTTTAGAATTTGTTCACACTTTAAGCTGTTTGATTTCTGCATAGCGTTTTTGCTTGTTGAAAATTAATGATTTGGGGAAGGTTGTTTTTGTCTCTTACCTCTTTCCTCAAATGAAGCAATTGCTTCTCTTTCTGTGGAGAAGTTGAGGTGGCTGACATTTGGATATTGTTGCAAATTAATGTATTCCAAGGTTCTGAAAAAGTACTCATTTGGATGGAGATGTACTGACTGTATTGCTTTACTGAGGCTTATTTAAAAATTGTTGAGATTACAATTTGAGGAATGCTCGGTCTGTGGGGAGAAAAAAAATCTTTGAAGTATGTCTGCTCGAACACGAAGTGCCCAGAAATTACATTGAAGTAATTTTTCAGTCGACAGGATTATTCTAGCATTTTTTTTTGTGTGCAAAATGCAACATGTCACACTTTACACAAGAATCTGGATTTTTTTCATTTCTAAAGAAATAGTTGATAAAAGTGATTAGATGTTGATCACTGTTCCGAACAGTGCTCCCAGTGATACCGCATTGTGCAACTTGGATGATTATACTGCAACTGCCACATTCCAACCTCTCAAACTGATATTTTTGTCAGATAGTTTAAGGAGACGGAAGCCATGGTTTGAACTGGTCACTGCAGGTGAGCCCAAGACAATGTATCTTTGTTAGTATAGAAAGAGCATTAGTCTTGTGATTTGCAAAATTATAATTCATGCATTTTATCTTTTAATTGTTTCACATGTTAGCTTTTAGAAATTTAGAGATTTGGTGAGTGGTGGGATGGAAGAGAAAGAAACGAAAGAGTGTTGAGATGAGCGAGTTCGTGAGTTGAATTAACCTACTCACTGGATTCTAAATATCTTGGGTATACTTGTTAGTGGTTTTTCAGGTATATTATCAACTTCCCTTCTATAATCCAGATTCACTTCACCATACAGCAATGTACATTTGTGTATTGCTTTTTTTTACAATCCCAAAATGTGTGATAACTTTGTGAAAAGGTATAAGAACTTTAATATTAATCAGCATAACAACTTTATGTTGCGACTGTTTTACGTACAATTGGATGCTTTGAAAATAATTAAATAAAATAATAATTTTATTTTTGTTGTTGCAGCACCTGCAGATGACGATTCAGGCATTGCAGGATGAGCTCCGGATCCAGCGTGATCTGAACCAGCTCTTTCAGCAGGACAATAGCACCAGAACTAGTCAGCCTTTTGTTGCCGAACTAACTGAGGAGAATTTCCAACGCCTCCATGCAGAACATGAACGGCAGGCCAAGGAACTATTCCTGCTGCGCAAGACTTTGGAGGAGATGGAGCTACGAATTGAAACACAAAAACAAACGCTCTGTGCTCGTGATGAATCCATCAAAAAACTGTTGGAAATGCTTCAGAGCAAAGGACTGTCCTCAAAAGCAGCGGAAGAAGACCACGAGAGAACACGGCGTTTAGCTGAAGCAGAGATGCAGGTGAACCAACTGGAGAACCTGCTTGATCAGAAGGAAAAAGAAAATCATCACTTCAGAGAGGTAAAAATAATTATTTTGCTTTTATATACATGATTCTAGCATAGTGGTTAGAGCACTCACCTCGCAAGCGAGAGGATCGGGTTCGTTTCTCGGGCAGGGTGAAATGTTAGACAAGTTTCCTTACCCCACATACCTCTGTTTACCCAGCAGTAATTCGGAACCTGGTTGTTAGTCAGTGGTGGATCGCTTAACAATAACTTAGCCATTGAATTCGGTCATTCAATCCATGACTGTTTATGAGACACTGCTGTGTGGAATTGGCTGCTGTATTTCGCCCACAAAATATGCAGTCAATTCACTTTAGAATATATTCTGTGAAGTGCTTTGAGACATTTCAATGACGTTCTAAGGTGCTATATTATTAAGGATTATTATTTTTATCAGTTTCTATACTGTTTATTTTCCATTCTACTTCCAGAGTGCTTCTTTTGGTGGATGGTGGAAATTTGATTATAAAGGAAAAAATAGAATGGTCAGCAGAGTAATTCATAATAATAATCCTTGCATTTGATATAGCGCTTTTCACGTCTTCACAACGTCTCAAAGCGCTTTACAGAATATGCTGTAAAGTGAATTGACTATTTGTGGGCGAAACGCGGCAGCCAATTGCGCACAGCAGTGTCCCACAAACAGTGGTGGATTGAAAATGACCTATTTATTATTGTTTTGTTTTAGAGGGATTATTATTAATTATTAATTCATCTTAAATTTGTCTGTTCAACACCTGCAAAACAGAAGCTGGTAGAGTAAAAATCGGTGTTTAATTGGATTTGGATTAATTTAAGAAAGTAAGGAACAATTGACTAGGACCAATGCAACAGGATCAGGAGGTAGAAAAAGCAGGAAGCAGAGAGAACTTTTAGTTGGATTGTTTGATTTGTGACTTGTGAGCTGAGAATAATAATAATCCTTGCATTTGATATAGCGTTTTTCACGTCTTCTCGACATCTCAAAGCCCTTCACAGAATATGATGTAAAGTGAATTGACCTATATTTGTGGGCGAAACACGGCGGCCAATTGCGCACAGTAGTGTCCCACAAACAGTCGTGGATTGAAAATGACCAATTTATTATTGTTTTATTTTGGAGGGATTATTATTAGGAGTGTGGAGTAAGGAAACTTGCCCAAGGTTTCGCCCTGCCTGGAAATGAACCCAGGTGTCTTGCTTGCAAGGCACATGCTCTAACCACCGAGCTACAGGACTCCACAAGATAAAACACAAAATAAAAGAGTTTTCGACAAACTGCGTGTTGAGAACATAACAATCAGCAGGTGTTGCACATAATTTCCAGTTAATCTCAATATTAATGCATTTGGAGGATGTATTTTTATGGTGTTTGCGGCAAGAACCCAGTATTTCAACTATTTGACCCAAGGCATGCAAGTTTTAAAACGTAGGGTTTGCATTGTTTTCCAGCCTAATATTAGTGAAAATTGACTCAGTGAAAATGACAGTGGCAAATGGTATAGCTCCAGAATGTGTTAAGTCCAAATAAGGAAAGGAGCTTGTTTAAATAGAAACGTCATTTTCTGTAGCCAGAACAAATAGCAACTTTTTATGTTGCTCACTCTACCTCTTGTGGCAGCAGCCAGGCATTACAGAATTCCATTACCACGAAGACCTTTCGGGGAATGTATGCAATCCAGAATGTTCTGATGATACTTGATCCAGGACCAATTTACTTGACTTAAAAAAAAAGCTGTTAAAAATAATCTACCTAATTTTGAGTAGGTTCATACTTAGATTTGAAATTTTGTTACAACGTCAGTTGCATATATGCATATAGTAGAAACACGGTTTGTGGTCATTTCGGTAATCCAGCCACCTCATAATTGCGGGCACATTTTCACAGTCTCTTTCATTGTCAATGTTAAAAGATAGGCTGTCTGCTTCAGTAATCTGGGCACCTCACTATTCAAGACAACGGTCATTGATTGCGGCCGCTACAGCACCCTCCTCCACTTCAAATGCGGTACAAACACCACCCTACGCTACTAACTGACTGGTACAGTACACAGTGTGCTAGGCCTCGTGCTTTTCGCGTTGTATTCTCGACGCAGTTACTGTGGGCAGAATGGGCTCCAGTCGTGCATGCATGGCTCGGGGAGTATTGGGGTTGCGAAAGCGACCCGAGCGGAAAATCGACTTCGCCCGGCGTAGGTGGCCTAACCTGAGCTGAAGCCAATTCTTGATAAGTGCTGTAAACATGCCACCACGGAAGGAGTTGACCTTGAGTGGGAGAGAACTTAATCAAAAACAGTTAGGCAAAAGTCATAGATAGTTAGCTGTGATCTATGGAATTGGCAGAACTCAAGTTAGATGCTTTCTCAAAAGGAAGGCTGAATACATGACAGATTTTGTTTTAAATGTGACCATGTCTTTATTTTAATCAGATTGCAAAGTATGGTTGTTGAATGTTCATCACTCTTGCCCATTACCAATGCCCTTAACATTACATCAGTGATTTGAATCACCCGACCTGTTTCAGTAATCAGGGTCACCGGTCACTTTTGCCAAGTCACTTGAGTGACTGGATTATTGAGGATCTACTATACTGTTAAACTTCTTCATGGCAGGAACAGAGATGCTACCAAACTTCTCTAACTCTTTGTAATGAGGCATTTTTCTTGTAAAATTAATAATAATCCGTGCTTTTGATGGAATGCCTTTCATGTCGTCGAAACGTCTCAAAGCACTTCACAGGGTAGTTTGGTCTGTAAACAGATGTTGTTTAACTCTTTAGGTTCAATATAGTTAGCACCACCTAGTGGATTAGGTAGATTGCATGCATTCCTTTTATATAGCTTGCTCATTTATGTCAGTGGAATGTCTCAAAGTATAATTAAGAAAGCAATGGATTTTGAGGGTGTGTTGTATTTTTTCCTCTTAAATTGTTCTACTCTCACCTTCTGTGTTATTGATTTTGAGTTAGCAACCGGTGCTCAAATACTCCTTAGCTACTCAGATGCTCCTTGCAGGTTGATTCCTGTACTTGCCTTCTATTCAGCATGATCATTTCCCAATGGGGGAGGTAGTAAAGGGAGGTATACAGGCCTGTATTGCAAAAGGGAAGCACTGAATGCCGCTTCTTTATCACTGGAGTGCTGCTCTCTTTTTACTTTGTTTCATTATTCCCAGATTTATTTGTTTCACCTTTCCAATTTTTTTAGAAACTGTGTTCATACATTTGAAGTCTTTTTTTTGCTCAAGGTTTGACAGGCAACCTGCTTTCAGTTCTCTGCCTATATTTCCCTTTATCTGCTTGGGAAGTTTACAAGAATTATTAACTCTGGTGTTAATTTAAAAAAAAGTTTTTTTTCTTCCTCATTGTGGAATGTTTTGACTTTCTTGACAACTTCCTGAACTCTGAGGCAAGCTCATGCAGGTTTTGCTTTAAGTCCATCCCAAGGAAATAGGTGGGATTTTTTTGTAGGACAAATTGTGAGTTCATTATCAGACTTGAGCAATTAATCATATTTTCTGTCTGTGCTTGTGAATTGGTTGACTTTAACACTTCAATATCCTGTTTCTGTTGTGCAGTTTTTTGAAATTTTCTTTAAAAAGTAATTTAAAAAAAGTAATTTTCTTCAAAAAGTAATTTAAAAAAAAGTAATTTTCTTTAAAAAGTAACCTGGGACTCACTCAAAGTAACAACAAATTGCATTTTTGCACCTTTCATATTGGTAGAACATAGCAAGGTGCTGGATAGTCGAGGGTTTGTGTCTTGAGACGGAGCTTGAAAGATTCAAGGGAAGGGGTGAGGTGAAGGGACTCCAGGATGGAGTTTGAGGTTGGGGGCAGAAAGGCTTAAGGCCCAACTGCTTATGATTGGGCAGACTGGGGGACATATGGAGCAGGCCACTGCCTGCCGAACGGAGGAGGTGGGTTGTTCAGGTTTCAGCAGAGGTTGGGTGGAGCAAGACACTGGAGGACTTAAAAAGTGAGGATAAGGATCTTGAACTCGATCCTTTGGGTGATGGAGATGGTAAGCTCACAGAGCTTGATGTGGGAGAGGATATGGACTGCAGAGTTCTGAATAATCTGCAGCTTGTGGGGGAAGAGTTGGGAAGTTTGACGAGCAGAGATCAAGTCTGACTGTGATGAAAGCACCGATCAAGGAGAATTAAATCCTCAAATGTAAATAATTAAGGCAATAAAACAAGTGATTTTGAGATTGAAACCATAGACTATGCAAAATGGCAGAATATATTGTGCAGTTATATCACAGTACAACATATTGAGGTGGTACAGAATTATGACCACGGTATGATCTCTTGGAAATTGTTTGTATACATTTGGTAACTTTTCCATTGTAGACGTGAAGCAAATTGAAATTTCAAACATTCTTTAACATTTCTAGAAGCCAATATTGAATAATTTACTGACTCCTGCTTTGAAAATGCTTTGAAATTGGCACATTCTTCTCAGATCATCTAATCGTCATTAAAATAGCTATTGACAGAAACATTAGTGTAAATAAATAACAAAACATCCACTGTGCTTTTAATAACTAAATATAGGCTAAATCAGTTTTCTGAAGCAAACTTAGAAACATAGAAGCAACAGTCGGCCAATCAGTCCCTCGAGCCTGTTCTGCCATTCTGTAAGATCAAGACTGATCTGTATCTGAACTCCAATTACCCGCCCTTGCCCCGTATCCCTTAATACCCTGACCTAAAGCGTATCTATCCACTTCAACCTTGAAGATGTGAATGGATCCAACATCCACAACCTTTTGGGGGAGAGAGTTCCAGATTTCCACTGCTCTTTGGGAGAAAAATTGTCTCTGATTTCACTCCTAAATTGCCTAGCTCTTACGTTAAGATTATGCCCCCTTGTTCTAGATTCCCCTATCAGAGGAAATAGTTTATCTGTATCTACCCTATCAAATCACTTTATTATTTTAAAAACCTCAATCAGATCACTCCTCAACCTTCTAAACTCAAAGGAGTAGCGAACAAGTTTATGCAAATGGTCCTCATAATTTATCCCATTTAGCCCTGATATCATTTGTGTTGCACCCCCTCCAGAGCCAATATATCCTCCTGAGGTGTGGTGCCCAGAACTGAATGCAGTACTCCAGATGGGGTCTGACCAAGGCTCTGTATAGTTGAAGCATCATCACCTCTCCTTTATATTGCAGCCCCTTGAGATAAAGGCCAACGTCTCTTTAGCCTTTTTGATAACGTTTTGTACTTGTGCGCTTGTTTTTAGTGATTTGTGTATGTGGACACCCAATTCCCTTTACTCTTCCACAGTTCTTAGTCTTAGATTTGATAATGAATCAGAATGAGTCATAAAATAGCATTGCTGCACAACGTTTTCCAAGAGGGTTAAACTTTGTTTCAATTTCTAAATTTCTATATATATATATATATGTATATATATATGGCTGTCTTTTTTTATCCTGGCCCAGTCAAGCAGCAGCAATTTTGAAATACATGTTATGTTTGTTTAGAAACTTTGAATTCATTAAGAAGTATTGAAACTAGCTTTAAGTGATATCACATAGCTGAAGCACCTTCACTTTTATTGAAATTATGTACATTGTAGAGAGACTTTGTTTGGTTTATGCTATGGATAGATACATGCATCTTTAAACTTATTATTCCTTAACTTCCAGGAAGTACAGCGGAAACTTGAAGGGGCACCGGATTCAGCCAAAACAAAAGCATTACAAACTGTGATTGAAATGAAGGTAAGAAAACTTGTAATTTTGCTGTTTGCTACAATAAAGTTTGCTGTTTGCACCCGTCACGTAGGATAGCATCTTGAAATGTTATACAGTGGCAATGAGGAAAGGAAGAGGAGGTGACGTGGTCGAAGAGGTAGGTTTTCAGGTGGGATTTAAAAATTGACAAAGAGAGGCTGAGGCGGAGGGACTGAAGCAGGGAGTTCCAGAGATATGGAGCACAGTGCCTGAAGATACCACCAATGGTGGTCAGTGGGCATGCAGCAGACCTGTGATCTGAATGAAGATGCTGGGCATAGGTGTAGGATATATCAGGTCAGAAGTCGGGAGGTGCTTAGGAGTGTGAAGGAATTTGTATGTGAGGGTGAGCATCTTGAAGTTGATATGTTTGGAAATGGGCAGCTAATGGAGTCTGGCCAGGATTTGGAGGTAATGGGAATGCGGAGTATGGTGTGAAGCTATCTGTGCAGAATTTGGTATTAGCTGAAACTGGGGTGACTGAGGAGTGCACTTGAGATATCAAGGCGAAGGTGATGAAAGAGTGGATGAGGGTTTTGATGCCATTTTGTGTGAGATAGTCTAAATATATTGTATTCCAGTTGATACAGATCCTGATAGTGATCTGAATTTGGAAATTTAATGCAGTAAAAGTAATAATAATAATAATCCTTGCATTTGATATAGCGCTTTTCACGTCGGGAGGACCTCCCAAAGCGCTTCACAGAACACACTGTAAGGTGAATTGACTGTATATTTGTGGGCGAACGCGGCAGCCAATTGCGCACAGCAATGTCCCACAAACAGTCGTAGATTGAAAATGACCAATTTATTATTGTTTTTGGAGGGATTATTGTTAGGCGTGTGGAGTAAGGAAACTTGCCAAGGTTTCGCCCTGACCTGCCTGGAATTGAACCCAGGTGTCTTGCTTGCAAGGCAAGTGCTCTAACCACTGAGCTACAGGACTCCACGAAAAGTACACTAAAAAGTGAGAATTTTTTTGTGACCTCTTTACTCCAGAAATGCTACTATTTTGAGGGAAAGGAAGCGATGGGCATTCACATTGCTGTTCTATCTAGAATCATATATAGAATTTTACACAACAGGATAAATCTGAATGTAAATTACCTACTTTTGTATTTCTTTCGTCTGAAATCCTCTGGTAATTGAGGGTGTCAGTCTGTCTCAGTTGGTTGCACTTTCATCCCTGAGTCACAACATTTTCAAGCCATGCATCAGGACTTGGAGATCAATGGCTAATGGTCCATTGTAGTATTGAGGGAGTGCTGACCTTCGATTAGATGTTAAATTGTTAAAGTCCCATCTGCCTGTGTGAGTGCATTCTGTGGTGCTGTTCGAAAAGAGAATTGAGTTTTTGCCAGTGTCCTGGTTAACAATTCTATAGAAATGGCTTTAACGCTCAGCAATTTGATGGGAGGAGTTTAATTTTATTTCAGAAGCCTGGAACACTGTTGACCTGTTTAACAGACTTAAGGAAAGGGCTGTGTCAGTGAGCAGATGCTTTGTCAAATAGGATTAGCATTCTGTTAAATGGTAATGTACAGCCATCAATGAATAAAATGAATTTTTCTGGATGAATGGTTTAACTCAGTTCTGCTATTGAACTTAGATGATGTACTTCAGGTGATCACAGTTTTTGAAACATATAGGTTCATGAACCATCACAGAAATGTTTTGATCATGTCAAGTCCACCAATTGCCATATATGCTGTTACCTAAAGCTGTTTGGATTTGGGTAGGATGACATTTAGTCAGAGTAGTAAAGTTATATTCAATGATTTTTTTAAAAAATCTTTGAAATTTCTTAAATTTTCTTCTCTAACTTCTCCTGATGGTGTTGGACTACATTTTCCTATATTTGTTCTTTCAGTGCCTTCTGGTATCTCTCAACCATGTCAATTATTTATCTACGAGCTCAGGCTAATTAATGTCTAGTTGGGGGAATATTGACAAGTTTTCTCACTCAACCAAAACTTGTCTGAAATTTATGATGGCTAAGCAAGTTTTATTGTGCAGGTTGAGAGTTTGTATGGAAGTGATGTTTGCAAGACCGAATGTTTCATTTATTGTGAGATCGTGACTAGGTGCGTAGATATTTTGTGATAAGAATTTTTGTGGGAAATTCAACTCTACCTTGATCACAGCTATCTCGATCAGTGCTTTTTCAAACTAATGTGTAAAAAGACATATTTTAAATGAAAAGTAGAACCCAATCGTCCGACTGCTTCTATGAAATAAATGGTTTCATTGTCACCATGTTTTGGAAAATGTGTTATAACTGAGTATTATGTTATCATTTAATTTTCAAGTAATCTAATAAAAAAAACAAATGTAATAATTTCTGTAATGTTGATGACACTTGAATACAGTCTGTGAAATGCAGATCAAATAGTTTTTGTTTGGAATGGTTGTTTTTCCTCAATCAAATCAGTCCAGATAAAAAGAAAGCTATTTTTGTTTTCTGTAGGACACTAAAATATTCTCCATGGAGCGGAACATGAGAGACCTGGAGGATGAGATACAGATGCTGAAGTCAAATGGAGCCCTGAGCATTGAAGAGAGAGAGGAGGAGATGAAACAAATGGAGGTTTACAGGAGTCATTCCAAGTTCATGAAGAATAAGGTACACAAGCTGTGGTTGGATTTTCAACACTGGTATAAACTATTCATGAAACTCTTTGAGTGATGTCTTGTGATCATTAGAGAATAACTCTGCGTAAAGGGAAATGCTGCTGCAGGATTCAAACTGAATATAAACAAAACTTAATTTCAACATGAACACTTGCCAATGGACTGGTACAATCACATGTTCTGATGTTGAAGCTCAAGCCATTAATTCCCATCTAATTCCCACACATCTCCAAGACCACGTGTACTACTATTATTGGAATTTATTCGGGACATCAATCAACGTAAAAATATGTTTGTATGATGTCAGTAATTTGATAGGATTATATTTACTTTTAGATAGCACCTTTCACGTTAGGAGGAAGCCTTGGTGTGCTTCAAACAGTTGAGAAGGCACCTGAGCTGAGGGTAGGGGGAGCTGAAGAGTTGACTGAAAGTGGTCAAAAAGAAAGGTCTTAAGACAGACTTTAAAGGTGGAGGAAGCGGGCAAATTTTATTGAGTTCAGGAAATTTGAATGAAAGCATGGTTTTCATGTATGCCAAAATAGCAGAAAGCATTTGGCTTCCAACAAATCCTAGTTTATGTAGAGGCAATTTTATGTCGGGGTTCGGAGAGCCAGTGGCTCAGCTGTCCTGCAATGTGTATAATCAAGACAGGTGCAGCTTTGAAACATTTCTTTCAATGCAGGTCCTGAAACGGTGATGTCATTTGTTAGCTGCAAAAATCTTCTAGATTTTACTTGAGCAGCATACAAAAAAACGCCTGTGTAATGTTTGTTTCAGTGCCTAGGTGGATGCAGTGTATGGGCTGAACCTTGCACTTTCTCTTGGCAAAACTGCATAATTATAAATCCATTACATGCTGTATTCTGCCACCAGAAATTATTACATCAGTACAACAGCAGTTAAATGATCCAGGGCACCTTCAAGCTCAACATCTCTATTGTTGATCTTTATTCCCATGTCACCTGCATAATTTAGATGAACTCACACATTTCTCACAGCAGTTCTTTGGCGTTGGTAAATAATTCATGCAAGCCAGCAATTCAAATTGTTGCTAAATAAATGCATATTCTTGGTGTGTCTTATAAAGGCAGCCAATTGCGCAAAGCAGTGGTCCACAAACAGTCGTGGATTGAAGGGATTCTTACCCTCCGAAAAGCGATCCACCAATCGACTAACAATCGGGTTCCTACTTACTGCTTGGTGAACAGAGGTGTGTGGAGTAAGGAAACTTGCCCAACATTTTGCCCTGCCCAGGAATCGAACCCAGGTTCTCTCGCTTGTGAGGCGACTGCTCTAACCACTCCACAAAAATCTCTGCCTAAGTAGCTTGGGTTATGAAAAAAAATATTGATTACTGTTGGCTTATAAGATTTAAGGATGGTGTAACACCATATAATGTTATCAGCTATATATGGCGAAGTGGCCTCCTTGTAAGAAAATTCAAGTACTGCATCCTGCTGATAGACTGCAAGATTTCATGAAATATAATGGCATTTCTACTTTGATTGGTAAAAGTGCCAATCCAAGATTTTGACTTAGAACTTTTGCTGAATATACTGTCAACAAGAAAGTGTGGATGGGTTACAAATTTATTTTTGAAAGAAAGAAAGAAAATGATTAAACAGTGAAGATATTTCTTCAATTATAAATTCTTTTCCTGGGTTGAATTGAGGAACCCTCATGGGGTCTTTCCTTGTTCACTTCCCATTCCTTATATGCATTCATGACTTGTATTTCAGTAACATGTAGTTAAATTTGGATACTATACCAAGGTGGGCTAACTGTGGCATTGGAGAAAGCAGCCAAGGTCTTGTAACGAAAGCTTGTGTGGTAGGGTATACATATACCTGCATTTATTACTGGCAAATGATGCTCAATGCATCTAATTATTGACTCTCAAAAACAGACACTGCAGCTTGCAATATCTCCTGTGAAGTGCTTTGAAATGTTCTTCAGATGTGAAAGACACTATATCAAATGTAAAGATTATTATTGTTATGAGATTGCATATAAGAGTAAAAATCACTCACCAGGTCAAAATAGTGTAAGGCAGCAATGAAGAAAAAAATGTCCATGATCCTGGGCTATATTGCCACTTCAGTTGAGTTCAGATCCCCAAAGTCATGATCATCCTGTATTGTACTTGGGTCAGTTTTCACCTGGAAAATATAATACCAATTTGCATTTATCATAGCATGTTTCACATCAGGAGGACATCCCAAGACACTGTTGAATTTCAAACTGGCTGTTTGGCAATATTGCGAAATCAGTTGAGTTCAGCTCTCCACAAATCATGTTCAAGCTGCACAGTGCTTTGTTCAAGTTGAACCTGAAATGCTGTAAAAGGCAAAATACTGCAGATGCTGGAAATCTGAAATAAAAACAGAAGTTGATGGGAACACTCAGCATCGATGGAGAGAGGAAAGTGAGTTAACATTTAAGAACCAGTTCCCCCCCCTCCCCATTTGCATTATCCCTGCCAATGTAGAGCACTTGTAAAGGACGAGTTCCCATGACACTATTCAAAAAGAGAAGGGAGGTATGGCTGACCAACAGTCTCCCAGGTAAAATATGGTAATTTACTTCATGGTTGTATATGGGACATTGTTGAACACAAATTGGCTGCTGCATTCGTCTATAAATACACATTGCTACACTTTACATTAAAATCTTTTGACGTGCTTTGAGATATTTTGACAATGATAATGTATCAAATGCAAGGAGTATTATATTATTTTATTATCAGTTTCATTGCTGCTTCATATTTTACATCGTCTGTTTTAAGAACAATGTAGAATTGAAAGAATCGTATACTATCAAAATAATCTAACCTGAAGATGACTGCCTTTACAGGAAGGTTGCCCAATTATTTTAAATTTTGAATAAAATGAGAAATGACAGGTTTATCAAACTGATGAAGGATGTGATTCTACTTCCCAGTATTTGATGGTGATCAGAAATGGCATCATAGATTGTGTAGAGCTCTGAAATCATCTCAAATTACATATCCATACTGAAGTTATGATTTTTTTAATGCTGTCTGCCTCACTTCAAGTCAAATTAGTATGTTTTTTTTAAAAAAATGAGTTTCTGTACGTTTCAGCATTTACTAATTAGAAATTAGACTACTTTAGGGGATGAATCATGTGCTTTGAACAATAACAATATTCTGACAAATAGAACAATTGCAGGAAGAGCTAAGGTACAAGGAATTCCAGGTAGAAGAGCTGAAAAGAAAGAGGCTGGTCTCAGATCAGGGTCTTTGCTGTTAGAGTTAATATTTGCAATGTGTTTGATACTGTAAATGCAGCTTGTTTTCATTTCTTTCTTGCAGAATGAATTTTTAAACTAATCCATTTCTCTCTTCTCTTGGCTTGCTCTTTCATGTTAGTATTTTGTTTATTTCTTCCCCATCTTCGACTTGATGCACAATTTATTTCGCTTAGCTTTGTTCCTGGAACAGACAGTCACACTTAAGTGGCCTCTTATTTTTCTTTTTTTAAAGTTCTTTACAATATCAAACTGTGACATATACAACACACATCAAACAGAAGCTGCAAATGATAATTTATCACATTTGCTACCAAAATTCAAATCGGAAGCCATCTAAGTAATTATTTAATAATTTGAATGATCAAAACATCCAGTTAACTTTAAAATTATATTTCCTGGTAAACTGGAATAGTTTTTATAACCTGCACTGAAATCAAAGGAAATATTGTGGTGAGTAGCAATACAGAACAAGTTTTGTTTTTCACACGTCACATGTCTATTGTTGAGCCAAAGCAAACCTTGTGCAACAATGGACTTCTTGCTGGGTACACTTGTTGAAAAATGTCCATATGACTACAAGTCAGAATGCCAGATGCCTCCAATCTCAAATATGACTTATTTGCCTGTATGTACTAATTCTTGAAGGGCAACTGCCAAGACTGATCAACTCCACATGCCCGTAAGCAACTACAGCTCTATTTTTTATGTAAAAGTGCTTTTGTTTGACAAGATAGAATCTGGGTTCAGATGCACAGCTGCAATATATAAGCACAATATGATGGTCACCACCATGTCGATGTTACTGTGTTCACAGTATTTTGGCACCTTTCATTAGCAGATTGACTGACATTGTGGTATTATTAAAATTTCATTTGAGAGTGCACTTATTCCTTAATTGGGGAACAGCATCACATAATTCACTGCAAAACAATAAAATATGTGCTGATGTGAAGCAACAACAACAACAAGATTCCATTTATAAAGCGCCTTTCACGTCAGGAGGACGTCCCAAGGCGCTGCACAGTTGGGTCATGACCCGAGCAGGGGGGAAATGGTCAGGTATTTTCATTATGTTGCATTAAATCAAGCTGTTGATCTGCTTTTAAATTTGTAAAGATGTACGATCCAAAGATCACTCAGCATATTTAAGCAAGATTGGAAAAGATGCATTTTAAATCGTCATTGAACTCGTTTTTATAATAATAATAATCCTTGCATTTGATATAGCGCTTTCCATGTCTTCTAGACGTCTCAAAGTGCTTCACAGAATATACTGTAAAGTTAATTGACCGTATATTTGTGGGCGAAACACGGCAGCCAATTGCGCACAAACAGTCGTGGATTGAAAATGACTAATTTATTATTGTTTAAAACAAAATGACTTTGAATCTGAGCAGTTTAGACAGATTTAAAAAAGTGCTTAAAACTTATTTTAGCAGTTTCTACTATACTATGAACCCATTGGCTGTCTTACTATCTTACAATCGACTGAAAAATATCCATTATGCAATTTGTAATATATTTGTAGAAGCAATCTTGCGCTGGGATCCGAGCTGAAAGTAAACTTGATTATTTTAGGTATAAACACTGTGCCTTTGTCAGTTCTTTTTGGTTTTGTCATTGCTAACTGTTGCTGACACACCAAGTTGGCAACAAATTATGTATTTTTTTAAATTAAGTAGGAAAAGTTGATCTTTTTCATTTGGACTTTCTCCAGAGCTGCTGGTAGCAAAAATGTAGAGGTTTATTTTACTGTAGTATCAAATGAAATGTTTCCAAATCTGTGCTATTGACAATGCACAGACCTGTCCAAATTGAAGTTGTGCTATGTTCTGTTAGGTTTCCATATGCATATTTGGGTTGAATACAACAACAATGCCGCTCTAATTGATGGTGAGGACCTATTTTGCGTTTGGTGATAATTTCATACCACCAAAGTCTGTAAATTTAGCAGCAAATGCAAAATTAGTCTGTAAGACAATTTTGTCCTTAATTTTAAAATGACACAGGATTCCAGTAAATTCAGTCTTTTTGTAAGCTGATGTTCCACAATTCTGAAGAAGAACTACTTCTAAAGTAAAACTGAATTTAGGAATTTTCCACAATTAAGAGCACTCTTAAGACAAAATGGTCTTGCTGGCTATGTTTGAGTGGAATTTTGAGCCTAATTTATTGTAAAAATGGAATTTCCTTTTCCCTTCACCATCTGATTTCATAGTTTAAATTTAAAATATTGTGTTAATTTTCAAAAAACTTGTTTCTTAATAATAATAATAATCCTTGTATTTGATATAGTGCCTTATCGTGTCGTTGAAATATCTCAAATTGCTTCACAGAATATATTATTCTGTGACTGTATTTCCAATTGACTGTATATTTTCTGGGCAAAACATGGCCACAGATGCCTGTAAAGATACTTTTCTCAGATACCAGTCACTATGAGCTACATGAGGTGTAAGTTGTTTTGCCCGCTTGTTTTCCTCTCACCCAACAACAGAAGAAAATGCTTTCCCTCAACTTCGCATGACCCTGGAATCTTCTCATATATGAGTTTGGTCACCTAAAATTTCCCCGTATGTCTTGCTACACCAAAAACAAATATAAATTGCAATTATATTACGGCTTTCAGGTTGACAGGACGTCCCAAGGTGCTGGACAGGCGCTGGTGCTCCAGAACTAGTTTAGATGAATCTTTGAACCATGATTCGTTAACTGTTCTTTCTTTGCGTGGTATTTCATAGAATTATACAGCACAGAAGGAGGCCATTCGGCCCTTTTTGTATAGGGGAGTAACATTTGCAACCCTCCAGTCCTCTGGCACCACCCCGGTGTCCAAGGAGGATTGAAAGATTTGACTGACATCTGTACTGAAAAGCCCAGTTCCTGGGTTAATCCATGTTACTGCTCTTTTCTTTCTGAGTTTTTTTTCCTCCTGAAATTATGTGAGGAATAAACAAATGTTTTATACAACGTGTTGTCTACTTCAGACTTGGAAAGTAAATATTAAAATCTGTTTTCAAGTCCATATCTTAGACATTTGAGGGTGGTCTTTTCAAATGCACTTTCAATCAACTGAAGTGAAAAAAGAGCAAATCATATAGTAATTGACTGCATCAGAGCAACAATGATTTTTGATTTATATAATGGTTGTTAAAGACGAAATTCAGTGCAGGTTGATATTTGAAGATGCTGAAAATCTGCTCTGTCCCAGTAGAGTAATGCAGCTTGAAAATAATTTTATGAATTGCCCTTCAAGTCATACTAAATCTTTGTCTTGTATTAACTTTCTAGATTGACCAAGTGAAACAGGACCTTTCCAGAAAGGAGACAGAGCTTCTGGCCTTGCAGACAAAGCTTGATACACTGACGAACCAATTCTCAGATAGCAAACAACATGTGGAAGTGCTCAAAGAATCACTCACAGCGAAGGAACAGAGAGCTGCTATACTGCAAACAGAGGTAAAGTTACACAATGTTAAATTTGTAGTCTTTGGTGAATTTTCCATATTTTGGTTCTTTTATTTAAATTGGAACTTTGGTATTTGATATGTGTAAGGAAAATCCTTTGCTAAGGATTTCATAATTAGCTCAGCACGTTTTGGCCTGCAATTTTGAACATTCGTCAGATCTGTTTGTTTATGTAACTAAATGATTTTCCTGAGCTGCACTTGCCCCCTTTTTCAACCAGAAGGTAGCCAGTATGGTTTTTATATTGCAGTGGCTACCAATGAGAATGAGTTTGATAACATATTAATGTGATGGTTGGTTGGTTGGTTGAGCCTAATCCTATTGCGTCTTCTCTTCATTTTTTCAGGATGCAGCATTCCACTGCTCTTGAATGTTCAATTTGACTTACTGTTTGAGGATATTTGAACCTGACCCACTGAGAGCATTTGAGTATGAATATAAGTTGAGTCTGAGATGTGAACTTGGTGAGCCCAAAATAATTTGGAAAGTGCCGTCACACTCAGGACAGCTGCTAACACGTAACCATTAAATATCGTGGCTGCCCTGAATGCGGCATTTTCTGAATCACGAAAAGAAAATTGTCCATTTTGTTTACCATTCAGATATAGTTTCCCAATATTGAGCAGAATAAAATGAATAAGTTTATATGAAAACACACAAGTTTTTTAAGTTGACATCTAATTGTAATAAACAATAGATTATTAGTTAAATAAATGCTTCATGCATACCATCTTTAACTGATCAAGTGGAACATCATTGCAAAATCCAGAGAGTTATGCAAAATTGCTTTATATTTTATGATGTTGACATTCAACATTCAGTTTTATCTTTCCAAGTGTATTTAATTTATTCAATTGAATATATTTCAGATTTCAAAATTATTTATTAAAATAGGAGTTTTTTTACTATAAAAATAATTCTGATTTTTTTTGATTTGCTGTCAATGGCAGTTTCATTGGATTGATAAGTATATAAAGAAGTCTTAAGTATTACAAATTTGGAAATAACAGAATACTTTAATATTAACAGACTTAGATTTGATATGAAAATGTAATTTTTTTTGTTAATTTTGTAAGTGAATCAAAAATGTTCATGTTACTTTCGTTAATGAACCATTGTTCATTTGTCCTAAACTGCCAAGCAATCCGCAGTACATTTTATGTGCCACTGGAGTGTGCTGTGACACAATTTAAATAATTCTGGATTCATCAAGATGGATTCACCCATAACCCATTTTTTTTAGAGAGGAAGGCTTGCTATTTGTATTTCTTTTTTAAAAAAAATAGAATTATAGGTAATGTCCCCTTTTTGATGGGATGGGAGAGCTTTTTCTTAGTTACTTTTCACGAAAAAGGATGCAAATGAGAATACAAAGGAAATGAGAGGCCCATGACTGAGCATATTAGAGTGTGGAAATTATAGCATTTAAGCCCCTCTTTCAGCCAATTGTGCCTTAGCTGGTGCAAATTCATACGAGAACATATAAGAAATAGGAGCAGAAGTAGGCCATTCGGCCCCTCGAGCCGGCCCTGCCATTTAATCAGATCATGACTGATCTTCTAACCTAATTCCATTTACCCACCCTATCTCCATATCTCTTTAGTTTTTAAAAATCTATCAATCTCAGTCTTGAATATGTTCAATGACTGAGCATCCACAGCCTTCTGGGGTAGAGAATTCCATAAATTCACTACCCTCTGAGTGAAGAAATGTTTTCTCACCTCAGTTCTAAAGGGCTGACTTTTATTACTGAGACTATGACCTCTAGTTTTAGATTCTTCAACCAAGGGAAACAGTCTCACACTATCTAGCCCGTCAAGACACTTAAGAATCTTATAGGTTTCTATAAGATCACCTCTAATTCTTCTATATTCTAGAGAATATAAGTCTAGTCTACTCAACCCCTCGTAGGTCAACCCCCTCATCCCAGGAACCAACCTAGTTGCATCCCCTCTAGGGCGAATATATCCTTTCTTAGATGAGACCAAAACTGCAAATACTATTCCAGTGCGGTCTCACCAAGGCCCTACACAATTGCAGTAAGACTTCCCTACTCTTGTACTCTAACCCCTTTGCAATAAACGCTAACATGCTGTTAGCCTTCCTAATTGCTTGCTGTACCTGCATACTAACTTTCTGTGATTGGTGAACAAGGACGCCTAAATCTCTCTGAATACTAACACTATCTAGTCTCTCCCACTCCAGAAAATAATCTGCTTTTCTATTTTTTCAACCTAGGTGAATAACTTCACACTTCCCCACATTATACTCCATCTGCCATCTTCTTGCCCACTCACTTAACCTATCTGTATCCTTTTGCATCCTCCTTGTGTCCTCCTTGCAGCTTACTTTCCCACCTAGCTTTGTATCGTCCGCAAATTTATATACATTAAGCTCTGTTTCCTCATCTAAGTCATTGCTGTAGACTGTAAACAGTTGAGGCCCAAGCACTGATCCTTACGGCACTCCACTAGTCACAACCTGCCAATCTGAGAGAACCTATTTATCCCTACTTTCTAGTTTCTGCCTGTTAACCACTCTTCAATCCATGCTAATATATTACCCTTAATTCCATGAACCCTAATCTTATGTAACAGCCTTGCATGTGGCACCATGTCGAATGCCTTCTGAAAATCCAAGTACACTATATGCACTGGATCCCCCCTATCTAACCTGCTAGTTACATCTTCAAAAAATTCTAAAAGATTTGTTAAACATGATTTCCCTTTCTTAAACCGTTTTGACTCTGCCTAATCATATTATGATTTTCTAAGAGCCCCACGGAGATATCCCTAATTATAGACTCTAGAATTTTCCCAACCACCGATATCAGGCTGGAGCTAACTATTTCAAATCAAAATTCTCTGCTTTTCCTCATATCTTGTTATTTTTCCTCTTCAAATGTTTTCCAATAGCCTTTTAAAGTATTCCATATTCAAACAACTCACAGTATGAAAATATCTTCTAACAGCCCCATTAACTCTTTTAGCAATAATCTTAACCAATGAATTCTCAAAACATATTAGAATTTTCAAGACATCAATTAAGATCTGTTATCTTGAAATGGAAATGTACCCAATTTGTGTATGGTCGGGCAGCATCTATGGAGAAAGGAAAGTGAGTCAACCTTTTGGGTTCACGACCCTTTCTCAGAACTGGTGGGGGATTGCAACAAAACCGAGGAATAAAGGTGTTAATAATGCAAAACAAAGGGGGGGAATTGCAATTTTTACGCCTCCCCCCTATCTGTCAGCCCTTAAAAGCCTCTCCCTCCCAACATGCCCCAGTTCTGACTAAGGGTCGTGGACTTGAAACGTTGACTCACTTTCCTTTCTCCATAGATGCTGCCTGACCTGCTGAGTGTTCCCAGCGACTTATGTTTTTGTTTCAGATTTCCAGCATCTGCAGTGTTTTGTGTTTTGTTTATACCCAATTTGTGTATGTTATTCAGAAAGTAATCGGCAACTGGAACAGGTTGCCAGGAAAGGTGGTTGAGGCTAGGACACTTAAAAATCAGTTTGACCATGTGATTGGGGGATGGAGACTGGGTTTCCTGGAAGGATGAGATTGGATAGACTGAAGGGCCTTCCTGATCCAGACCGATCTTGTAATCTTGTGAACTTGTCTTTACAACTGTAATCTATCATTAATTTTTCAACTGTATAACCTACTGAGTACCCTTTCCTTGCTTCTGTAATGGAGCAACCATACTGCATGCATTTTTTCTAACTGCAGTGTAACTAATATCGATAAAATTTTAACATCATTCCTTGCTTTTATCTTCTTATACTAATAAAGACAAAATGTGTGTGTGTCTGCCCACCAAGAACACAATCACCGATTGACGTAGAGACATGATTTAAACCTCGGGAAAGGTCTTGTATCGTGGAGTGTCATGGGCATATTTTTATTCTGGGGATCTCCTATCGTTGATCAGCTATATTAAAAAATATGTAACTGTGTATTTGCAGGCAAATGTTTAATTCACGAATATTTTTAACTCAGAATCCCATTTGCCTTTTTATTGCCTGTTTTTGTGGTGCACACCATTCTTTAAAAGATCTGTACCTCCAGATCTTTCTGTTCCTCAACATCATTAACTGGCCTAAAGTCAAGATGCTGTTAATCATTTATGCATCCTGGGTTAATTAACTCTAGGTTGGTGGTTGTGACTGGGCTGATGTTAATTTAGCCCCCTTCTGCACAAGGAGTTCTCCCTCATGGCTGAGCTTTTTTATTATTTAACCATAAATATTCAAAACTTAACTGACTCTGCCAGCATGATTTTTCCTTCCGTGGTTTTGGCATGTGTATAACTGCTCATTGTTCTCTATTCCTGTTTTTCAAGCCTAATATTTATATTAGTATAATATTAGTATAATATTTCACATTGCAAGGGTTTTCCCTTTTTTATATATTATATATAAAATATATATGTATGCGTGTGTATGAAATATTCAGTCTCTTATTTTTCCTGAAAATCTCAGGGACATAAAAATATATTCCATCAAGGTTGATTGCAGCATTTGGTAAAGAATTTGACGTACTTAATGTTTTGCATAGAATTATTTATCTTTGGAATGTCTTTCAAAGCAGTAACAGATCTTGGAAACTTTAAAACAAATGTTTAAGCATTTTATATCTTTGTTTATGCATTTACCTTTCTTTTTTTCATTATTTATGTGTTTAATTATTTCAGCCTATATGCCCCTTTCTTCATCTCCAAGGTCTGGCTCAAGACCTTGCTCTTTGACCTGCCTTCGGGCATCCCTCCCATCACCACCCCTCCCAAATCCAACCCCTAGCTTGGGTACAAATCCTTGACAGTCCACGTCTTGGGACAAAAAGCACATGTACATCCCAACACCATTATAACATGGGTAGATTCTTTTTCCATTCTCTCTAGCTTGTTTCTTTGTACTCTAGTTGTAGTGTGTCTTGTTTTCTCTATTGTGTTTTATTGTCAAGCTTTACCTTTTTCTGTCTTCCCA